TCGCGCAGCCACGGGTACGGCACGTCCGGGACGAGGGCCAGCGCCAGGTACCCCGTGGCGAGGCAGTCGAGGGTGGTGGGGCCGTCGGGCTCGTCGGTGAGGAGGTAGGCCCCGCCGGCGAGGAGGGCCTCGAGCGGGGCGAAGAGGTCGGCGGTCAGGGCGTCGAGGCGGAACTGGGAGCGGGCAAGGGCGGCGGAGGCGGCGGAGGCGTCGCGGGCGGCGGTCAGGGCGCGGTTGTGCAGGAAGGCCTCGGGGAGGTGGCCGGCGGCGACGGCGGCGGAGAGGTCGCGGGTGCGCTGTTCGTCCATGGCGGCGAGGTCGAGGGCGGAGAGGCCGAGCGGCGCGGTGCGGTGTTTGGCGGCGGCGTGGAGGCGCGGCGGGACGAGCCACTGCGCAGGCCAGTGCAGCAGGGCGGCGAGGGCCGGGGCGGTGGCCTGCGCGTAGTTCTGGCTGGTGACGTAGAGGGAGAGGTCGAGGAGGGGCTGGGCGCGGGATTCGAGGAAGGAGGCGAAGGCGATGCTGTCGGCGCGGCGTTGCGTGCTATCGCCGGTGCTGGTGGGCTTGTGGTCCAGGTCCCATTCGCCGTGCGAGTACTGCCGCAGGTAGTCGACGATGTTGCGGAAGCGGCTGACCCATGTTGAGCCGTTTTTTAGGGCAGGGAGTTCATCTGGGGTTGTGAGCGAGGGTGTAGCATATGATGTGTGGGAGAACGCACTGGTTGGAGACACTGTCGGATCACTGCTTGCGACGAGTACCCACGCGTCCTTGGGCACGACCAGCGAGAAATAGGCGATCGTGGCCAGACATTGCGCGTCGATGGAGGGCAGGGAAAAGGCCGGTCCCCAGATATGCAGTTCCAGCACCATCGCGAGGTCCGTGGTGAGGTGGTGATGGTCGGAGGGAGGAAGTATACTTCTCCGGTGCAGGTTGAGGTTGTCACGTGGTTGTCGCCTCGGTGCCTTATTACTCAGGCCACATGTTTCAGGTGTCGCATTGTCTCCGTGCTCAATCGGGCAAGACACGAACCCCCACTCGGGGATCCTCCCCAGCATCTGGAGTTTCCGTGGTTCAGTCGCGATTTCAGATAGATTGGTGAGCACGTCTTATCGTTCTGGAGCAGGAGGAGCCTCAGTCCCGTTACCCCGTTTATCCGCATGTTGACCGGATCACGACCGACTCGTCTAGCCAAAGTTAAACGCGATTAACTCCCAGCCAGACACGCGCGCACATGGGCGACGGGGTCAGTTGACCTGCGATCGGATCTCCAGGCACTGTGCCTGGCCAGGATCCCAGCGCATGCATACGAAGCAAGGCAGGGGGGCGGCTGTCGGGGTGGCCGTATCCGAGACATTCTCGTGAAGTCATCATAACGACAGCAGCGGAGTATAGCTGCCGCCCCAAGGCACAGCCCGCTACTTTGGATTATTCACGGCTCGCTCGGCTGGCTTGCATTGCTGGCCCTGCAGGCTTATCGTCATTACGTACGGGCCCATCGGCGAAAAGGAACCCCTCCCTGGCCAGTCAGATCAGGAGATAGCGGGATGACTCGCATTACGCCACCGTCCGATAGTTGCATGTATCCAATGCAAAACCCCAGACCAGGATCTGGATTTAGATGGAGACAGATAACGGAACCAGCAATCTTGACGATGCTGAGCGGATTGCCTACACTTGCACCGCAGAGGGGGCCCTGCGGCACTATTGATTCAACAGCCAGACAGAATCCCTGTCACGCCCGCTAGATCCCCGTGCTAGCGGGCTGTCGGCCCATCACAATTCAGACGGCGGTCATCGTGAGACCCTACGTATGGAGAGAATGGCAAAAGAAAGAGGGGTGTGATCAGTAGATTAATTCATTGAAATGCAAGATGCGGTTGGGTATATTAGTCTATTATACATGCCGTTTGCTGCAACAAGAAGAAAGAAAAGAGATTAATACAGTCTGGAACAAAAGACCGATTAAAATGATAAGCCCCAGAGATCAAAGAAAGGAAACGAAGACCCGCATGGCATCGATCGAATCCGCATCGCACGCACAGCCCCGATGAGACGGGTTTGCGGGGCTGATGCTGACGAGCGCCGTTGAAACCGCGGATGTCGGAGAGAAAGCGATAACGTGGAGTGGGGTCTCCAGATCGGACTCCAACTTGATATCATCGCATCGTCAGACTCGCATGGCGTTGTGGATCATCCCACGCCATAGGACTGGGATGGATGGCGCAATCTGGATGCGTCATGGCAGGATGGAACAGTGCGCCGGCGCACAGTTCCGTCAATGAAGTTGAATGGAACAAAAAAAAGAAAGATGCGGACGGAAAGAAATCCAGGTGGACGTCATCGCGCAGAACGGGAGACGGTCGCAAAGTAGTCCGAAATGAGGAATTCAACGATAACCGCCGATCCGAAATAGCGGGTGTGGTTGTTCGAAAGAAGAGGTGTTTGCAGAATGAAATCAATCGTGGTATCCATGCGGAAGGCAGCAACTCCGGTTCATGATCGTCTCGAGCGGGTGATGGTGGTGGTGGTGATGGTAGTGGTGGAAGATGTGATTAGGCTGGATCGGCTGGATCACCGCTCGAGTCCGAGGTCGTCAAGGTCATCACAGGCGCTGGAACCCCCCAGGTTTACTTGGGAAGCGGAGGCAGAGGGCCCTTGGGAGGAGGACCCGGGCATGGAGGGAATTGAGAGGCGGAGCCACCGACGGAAGGCATTGTGTAGAGATAGGTTAGGTTGAGATTGAGGTGGTGTTGGTAGTGTTGATGTGTTGATGATGGGTTGTAGTATACTCAGGTAGAGGTGGATGTGTGTAGAGGCACGGTGATGGACAGGAGATCTTGGAAGAAGAAAGGAAGAAGGAAAGAAGATTCGAAGGAGGATCGAAGTGGTTAATATATGGAGAGAAGAAAAGAGCAGGAAAAGATTAGGATCGAGTTATTGATTAATTTTAAATTATTCTATGAAATTATTTATTTCCATGATTTTCTTTTTATGAATTTTGGAATAAAATAAAATAAAATAAAATCAATAATAAAAGAAAATAACAAGATGGGAATAATCTCGAAATAATAATAATATGGATTACTCCCGAAAATCGTTGGAAATCTCGTCGGGTGGAGCCCACGACGTCAGAGGGACGAACGGAACGCAACTAGTTTCATCCTCCCCAATCGGAAATCCCAGAGAAATTTTCTAGAAGCTCGTCGGCCCACCGGCCATTCCCCCTTTTCCCCTGGCTTAGGAGAACAGGTACGGAGTACTGTACTCTCACAATTATCTACGGAGTACCCGAGAACGGAGTACCTGGTAGATACGGCGGTACACCCTCCAGAGGTATTACTATGTATTACCACGTTAGCCGACGATAATAACTATCATCCATCCCCGATGACTCAACGCATCCTCCCACCCCCATGCCAATCAATCAATCAATCAGAGGGAGCCGTCCTATCGCGCTATCTGCCTGGGCGACGAGGCTTACCTCCACTATCGACCGTCCGACCAGGGAACCTCCTCCCCGTACACGTGCGAGTTCGTAGATCCGGTAGGGGAGAGGAGGGGAAACGGCTGCCTAACCAACTAACAGCGGGATCGAATGTGATTCATCATCCTGCTCGCCCACACACAGACGCACAGGAAGGGGATCCTCGTCCTCCCTGCCAGAACGTCGGGTCCGGGACCAGCCACTGCGCCGAACAGGGTTCCGAGCATGATCGCTACGAGCAGGATGCCTTCCTTGCCCGTCGTGGTCCGGGGGGGGGGCTGGCTGGCTGACAGGCGGTTTCATCTTGAACCCCAGCGACGGAAGCACGTCGTCTACTTCAGGTATAGGACCTTTGTAACACCAGCGGATTACCATACCGGTTTCAGGGGGTCGAACTCTCTTGTTCCTCTCGGCGATTGGGCCCACCGACGAGATCCCGGCTGTTTTGGTGTCTTTTGGTGTCTTTCTCCTTGCAGCTGATCAGAAGGCCCGACTCGTATTGCGATGGGTTCGCCGCCAATCAGCGTCCCGGCGTGGTACGGTCCGGTTCTTTGCTGTGTGGCGGTTCACCCGTTGGGACGGATGGGATGGATCGATGGAAACCCGATACTCCAGATTTTTGGTTCTTTTTCTTTTCTTCCCCTGAGTTTCGACGGTTGACCTGTCACCCCGTCCATGGGAGCAAATGAGAAGAACAAGAGAGTCGACGGCTCGATCGGAACTACACTCAGCCACTGTGGCTTTTCCTCCCTTGCTGATGCGAGGTCTCGTGATAGATCGGTCATCCGTAGCCTTCCCTTCTCTTCCCTCCCCCCTGGTCTCGTCCCATTCTGCAGCGGGGAAAAGAAGAAAACGTCCAGCTTACGGAGTACAATTCCGGCGTACGCCGTCGCCTGTTGGCCCTGACCCCTGCTGACGAACCGTCATGTGCACGTAGTCCAAGGTACGAGGCACACCGCCCGGTCTGATGTGATCCCAAATGGAATCCAAATCCCCAGGACCCAGGATCAAGCACTGCGTACCCCACTGCGAGAATGGGATGGAGACGTGAGGAACGGCCTTAGTCGCACAGCAACCGCAGACGAAGAGTGGAAAAAAGTGGCCAAGGAGGAAGAATGCGGAAAAGAAAACGGTTGATCCTGCACATCATCCCTCCCTCTCTGCCGTCGACGACGGCATTCCACCCATCGAGCATCCGTTCTTCGTCGATCAAAGGACAATCGTCGGAGTGGTCATTGGTTCATTTTTGGCGTAATTCTCCGCGGTGCGGATGCCTATGGTGTTGGCAGATGCAGGTACACTGCAGCGTTGCATACAGTAGCAAGTAACTAGCATCCGGACCGAGGGCCATGTCTCCCCCCTGAATGATGTGGCATGGGTTGGACAACATCATCATTAGATCATACTCAGTCATGGTGTCTCTCTGCTTCATCTCTGATTGAACCAGACCCCCTCGGCCAAGGCTTTCCCCCAGAACCTGCACACCCGCAAAGGCCTGACCGCGTGCGTCACATGGCCTCCTCGCAAGTTTTGCAGGAAATTGGCAAGACTCCGCCGGGTGCCTGTGGCTGGAAAGAAGAAAAGAACTTCAAGTGGAGCGGTGGGTTCCGCGAAATGAGATCTCCACTGTTGGGGAGCAGTTCATTCCGCGCTGTTGGGGAAGCCGGCGGGAATGGGTGCAAGATTCCGATTGCGCCATAGTCTAGCCGATCATCTTTTGCCTGTCGGGAGTCTGTACGGAGTATCGTCTATCGTCGACCACAGAGAGTTACCAGACAATCATCAGGGCGAATTCATTGCTGCGTACAGAGTATTGTAGTCATCACTGGCGCGTTCCTGAAGGAATCGGGCATCCGCCAAAACCACAACCACGCGAGACCTTAACCCTAACCAAACCCTCTGCCAACATCGCCACCCCTCCACATGCAATATAAAGATCAGCATCTAAATAAGGCTATCCTCCGCTCCTTGGAAAACGGTCTTCCTTCTAGAAACCGCCTCAACCACGGTTCACCTCACCGCTCCTCCCGACCGAAACGCTCCATCCTGTTCCTGGCGGCCTTGTCTCCGGAACCAAACCCCGACCCAGTGGCTAAGTACTGAAGGAATCGAACGGCGCACCGCTCAACAAGACCATGTTCTTCCGAAGCAACACTAAACAGTCACTAAGGCCTATAGCGCCAGGCCAGCGGTTCTTCACCTGCACTAGCCGAACTAAATCCAAGCTACCGGACGAAGTAGTTAGCCTCGTAGCCTGGTCTACTCCGTACACTCAGTCAGAGAGCCCTAGGAAAATTCGTAGTGGATCACCCCAAGCAGAGTAGTCTGTTTCACTTTGGCCCGTGGAACTCCACTCTCGCAGTCCCCGAACGTGGTGCGCGACGGATTGCGATTTCGACCCATAGCCGCGCCAGGAACCGGGAAAATCCCTGGTGAACCCGCTTCGGCTCGTCGGGTATGGACGCTGCGGTTATGTCATGGGATCTCGGAAGTTGTCCTATTACTAACGAACCGATGTCGCTTGGAGCGGTTCTGCTCGCACATATGCTAGCTTGACCCTCGTGCCGAGGTTTCTCCACGGCTGGGGGCTTAGTTCGAACAGGTCGCGTTCAGAGAACTTGGTTGACCCGTGGGACAACGCTGGAAAGGACACATGTACGGAGTTATATCGGTGTTGGCTAGTACCTGGTGGCAAATCTTCTCTGCATTTGCTAGGACGTAGGCTGTCCGAGGGATCTGAGACAGCGCATTCTAACTCGCGACATCGACGTTTGCATTATCGCCTACCCGTTCCGAACTGGTCACGGAGATTGGCCGTTCCATGCACTGTAACCGATGGAAGAGGCTGATAAGAAATCTTCAGCCGCAGATGTCTGACAGCAGAGGCCAAGCCCCATTCAACACGATGGCCCAATCATGCGACAGGTATCCCGGTCGAACGAGCTGGTAAACGGTGTCATCCCAGCTAGTATGATGTGCATCCTGCAGGGTGCCGAAAGACAAGGATTCTCAAACATGCGAGCGGGTAATTCCTGTGCATGGTGTGATCCGGCGACGTGGCTGATTTCGTTTTTCTTGCAGGTCGATGCGAGTGTCACGGTGTCCAGGCGTACATCAGATGACGGATGGCTGTAATAATGACAGCCTGCATTGTCCGCTTTAGACCACTAGCAGCTGGTGCTAGCTGGCGAGCAGTTTCAATAACCTCTCATGTTACACCGGCGGTGTCCAGTTAACGACTCGAGGTCTTGTGTTTCATGAAGTCTCATGATGTCGCTCACCACCCGTCGGCATTGGTCTCACCAGATGGCCTGTTTCGGAAGACTGCACCTACCGCGTGACCATCGTATTGTAGATGAAGCCCTCTATACGAAGCCGTCCGACCGTGGACGTATATGTGGGCTGCACAAGGTCATAACGGCGAACCGTCCTGTGACACGCCTATATATCGGCCCGGGATGATCGGACATCCCTGGCACTTCTCAAGTGCCTGGTCCACGTAGCGTAGCACCAGTGTACATTTCGGATTGACCCTGGTCGCGGGACTCCTCGGAGTGAAACAGACCAAACCAACCGCCTCAAATCATTCTTCATCCAGGTCGCCCGGAGCCTGGGAGGAAATCCACTCCTCCAGCAGAGGTTGGTGTCCGGGCTCCGAAGATGCCATCCTTGCTCCGGGTCTGCCCCCTTTGCGCGTGACAAGCAAGCAGAGCACCCAGCCAAAGATATTGAACCCCTCGTAGTTGGTCCTGAAACGCAGCTTCTTGTCCTCGGTGGCGGGCGACTCATTTCTCTGCCGCTTCGACGCAGGCTCGTCCTCTTCGTCTGCTTCTGGTCCCCGCTTGCAGTGTGTATCGTCGTCCTCGGCGCTGGCCTGCGGGATGTCATGTAGGCCCACGTCCTCGTCGTCGCTATCGATCACAATTCCGGTCGCAGCCGTCCCGGCAGTAGCGGAGGTCGCCTGTTGACCTGGTTCATCTCCAAACTCCTTGTACCGGGTCAGAAGCGAATGACGGGTGCGCGATTCGCGAAGGAAGAGCGAGACTTCGAAATCCTCTGCCAAGTCGCGCGTCAGCCACGTCCGTTTCTTCCACCGTTCAAACCAAGTCCAGCGCAAGCGCAGCCTACCTTCGGCAATGACATCTTTGACAGGCTTCCCTTTCTTCCGGGAGAAGAGTCGTTCGTTTTCCTCGCGCAGCTTGGCCGGGACTAGGGGCCGGATGGCGGCAAAGATGCGTCGGAGAACAGGATCACGGCCATCCAGGAGCCAGCGCGAGTCGGACGGGTTATCCAGATAGATGCGACATTCAAGGACGGTGTACTTGCTGATCCGGAGATAGCGCCGAATTGGGGCCATGTTGGGGGGTGGTGAAGCTGAGGTGGAGGAGTGGAAGATAGCTCCGACGATTACGTAGGAGCTCAGCCAGTTGTGCCAAGCTTTGATCCGCTGACTGGACTGGTCCTAAACAACAACAATCGTCGCTTTTTTGCGAGTGCTTGCATGTCTGCTTGAAGGGTATATGTCCATACTAGAATTTCTAGAAAATCATTCCTATCCTACGGGAATATTGCGAACGGGACGGATGATATGGTTTGTGTTGTCCTATGTCAAGGTTGGGTTGGAACCAGTATAGACATGCTCATGTGCAGAAAAGAATCAATCTTTCATGTAATTCTTCAGCCAAACAATCCTGTCGGTCTTAGCCCGAAACCTCTTCCCGAATATCCTATGTCAATGTCGTTAGCCAGCCAGAAAACATATTACAGCCGATAAACTTACCATAGGGGAATCGTGAGAAGACTGGTGAAGACAAAAAGGCTTCCCAGGACTATAAAAACCTCCAGGACTCCATCTTTGGCGAGCCACTCATTAATGAAGTACAGGACCCCGAAGCTGAGGAAGTTCCTCGCATTAACAGCCACAAAAGCCTCTTCACCGAGCGCGTTGTACGCATCAATAATGTATCCGAAGACACAGGTTGAGCAGACGGCCAGCGACGCGTTAACCAGCCCATACGTGAGGACCGGTCCAGTCCAGTGAGTCTGATAATGGATCGTGGCACCAAAGCCATAGAACCCGGCAACACCCAGGATGAACCCCAGTGATACCAGGACTAATCGGAACTCGGGCTCATAGAAGCCGTTATTCTTCTTGGTCAGATAGATACAGATCATGTCGCAGAGAGGACCAGAAATGACCTCAGCAATAATGCTGAGCACCAAGGGTGATATATTGATTAGTCCAACTTGGGAGACGCTGAAATTGTAAGGGGGCTCAGTGAAAATCACTCCGTTGACGTAACTGAACACAATGGTGAATGTTATCGTCGTGCCCCAGATTAGAAATGCCCACAAGATCCCCGGGTAGAGAAAGCTAGGTTCAGTCAGCGTGTGTTGCCAGCGGACTAAGGATTTCGTAGTGCCACGCACAGGATAAACGGGCGGCTCATGACTTTGAGAAACGAAGCATTAGAGTATATCCCAGTGTATACTCTGAGAGATCTCCAATAGGAGCCCTTCCTTTGTGCGACCAGTGGCTGGCCGCTTGGTTGCTGTCCCAAGGTTTGCTGCTGAGGCTCCCTTTCTATATCTTGTATAGTCTCAGAGCCCTGTCGTGGGGAGTCCTCAACTGACGCACCCTTTACCTCAGGGTGCTCCACTCTAGGCAACTGATCGGTTGAGGGCCCGGATGAGCTGGCTTCTCTGACATATGCCGTTTCAGGGGCAAAGAAGAAGAGGGCCACAGTCAAGACTCCGTAGAAAAAGGCGCATGTACCAAAGGTCCAGCGGTACCCGGAGTATTGAATGATATAAGCGCTGACAATGGGCCCTGCTGCGATCCCGGTCCCTAGGAACAGATTCCAGAAAGCAATTCGAGTAGCGCGTTCATGGACGAAGTAGAGGTCTCCTATGGTACATTGCACGAGGACCTATATACATAGGAAACGTAAACGTCAATCGATTGAGGACAGATTCGTAGGCAATGTCTCGTAAAGAAGCATGACTAACCTCAAATGGTCCCATACCCAAACCCCCCACTAGTCGACAAGCAAGAAACGACTTGTAGTTATGGGTTAGGGCACCCCAGATGCTAGAAGCAAAGAGGATCAGACCGGCAATCAGATAAACTGGCCGTTTCCCGTAGCATTTCGCGAGGGGGTTGCTAACGAGGAGACCAAGCCCGATTGCCAGTACCAGATATGAGGTGGCTTGTGAGATTTCATTGACGCTGACCCCTAGCTCCTCAGCTATATCGACAAATCCAGGACCTAGCATAGGGCCGTATGCACCCACAACCGAGGAGAGGAGGCTGACAATAAGCAGAATGAAATCTTTTCTCCTGCGTATTGTGCATTAGCTGTTGGTTCGGGCGAGAAGAGGAACTGGATTACCATTGCGGCAACTACGGTCAATCCAGTTAGTGAGTCCGTATAAACCAGGGATCGCAACTTCAAGCTTACTTACATTTAAAGGATCATCCGGAGAGTCAGATGGTTGCGGAACCTTTCTCATATAAGCCATTGGGCCCAATCATATATAGGAAGTGAAGCATCGGAGCTATACCAATACAATGCCGCGACGCTGATGCTGGCCTTTCGCGGACTCAGAGGTCTCCTCATCGTGGTCCTCATTGGAATCCTGATAACTCAATATCACTACTGTCGTCAGCAATATGCGTAGCAGTCGGAAGAAAGGGTCCCCACCTGTTCCTGGGGCTGACTCGCCGTCCTTGCATTCCAAAATCCCAAACGCCATGATAATATCCTGGCTCAAAATAATTGTAACAAAGCGTTTCGAGAGAGAGGTATCGAACTATATAGATAAGGTGGAAACAAAGCCATGCGGTGATGCAGCGTTCAGCCTTTGGACTGGATGCTCGGGCTCTTATGCATTTAATCGACATTATCCAGAGCTTCGCGAGGTCTTATCCCATTTGATAAAATGCCCAAATGACTGATTTACTCCGCTCCTACCAGTATTTAGTCTCGTGTGCTCCCCACATGCTGGGATATGAAGGGTTGGTGGGGATACTTTGTTCGATCCCCCACAAAATGTCGGTCAGCTTCTTACCCAGGGAGGATACCGATCACATTATTCCGTAAAGTCGGCGATATTCTGTGAGCTTGGCTGCGTTCATCTGTATTCCATCTGTAGTGGTGCTATTTGAACGCTATATAGATAGATTTCGAGTGGAGTTACAGTCTAAGGGAGCCAAGGCAACCAGGCCTCGGTCAGAATTATTGGATCAATATCTATAGTTAATGATATAGTTCGGAAAACTCATTGACTTTGATATCTAACAGTGCTACTGGTTTCTCGGACAACATCTTATATCTTGCTCTCACCCCTTGTGTCCCCGAATAATTGCTCACACATTGTATTAGCATGGTCCTCAGCGTCATGGTTCAATATCCAATCCTCCCTCGGCAACTCGATAGTCTTCGGGTCACGCTTGACATCATCCCAATTGGCCGTATGCCATTTGTCCCGAGTGCTTTTGCCTGTCTCCTGTACCTTTCGCACGCGGTCGTATCTGCAATGCCCAATCAGCAGTCTCGTCAGCGACAACGTGGGAAAGACCGCTCACCGAATCTTTTCAAATGCCTGCAGGGCATCGGGAATCCTATCCTTGCCAGCTCGCTTCAAACAAACGGCAATGGTCACACCGTCCTCCAGCGCCTGTGTCGCCCCCTGAGCGGAGGTCGGGAGGAATGCATGGGCAGAATCTCCCGCAAGAGCAATGCGTCCTTCTGTGCTGATCCAAGTCGGCAGAGGGTCCTGCCACATTAATTTCCAATCGATCAGGGACGACTCTGGTGTTTTTGATACTATGCGAGTGCAAAGCGGATCCCAGCCTTTGAATATTTCGTAGACGTCCGTAAGCTTTCCAGGCAAGGACCAGCGACCATCGGGTTTGGATGTATCCTATCGGAGACAAGTTGTTAGCACGAATAGTGGTCGTGGATCATATCACATGCTTGATAGGAGCTTACCTTATGCGTTAGTACCCAACAAACATCTCTGCCCCCCTTCAGGGTGGAAACTAAGAAATGTACGTCCGGGCCTATCCAGCCATTGAACGTGTCTCCATGCTCGGACAAATGCCTAGTAAAGGGATCGGCAAGGATATCCTTGTTCGAGAACCTCGAGAACATTCAGAACTTGGGTGTACAATAGGCCTGGGGTGACATACCAAGCACGATAAACAGCGTAGCCACTAGATTGAAGCTTTGTCTCACTACCTAGAACCAAGCGTCGCGCTTTGGAGTGAAGGCCGTCGGAGCCGATCACAACATCTCCGTAGACCTAAGCTCTGTCAGCAGCGGAAGATACACTCGTCGTAACTACACACCTTTTCTCCTGTTTCCAGCTGGATCCCTGCCCCGGAAGAACTCTCGAAGTACCCTGTTACCTCGCAACCCAGATGGATTGGAATTTTAAGGTCATCCCGGGCATAGTTGAACAAGATCTCATGAAGTTCCCCTCGGTGTCCATTGATCGTAGGCGCTTGCCTATCAAAAGGCAAAGAAGCCTGTGTGTGGACATGCTCCCCCGTGTATTTGTGAATGCGGAATCCATGGTGCTCGAGGTTGATACTGACCGGCAACATGCGATCGACTACCGATCCCCAGCGCGCAAAGATGCGGCCCCCGTTACGTCCAAATGAGATTATATCGCCTAGAGGCTTCAATTCTGGGAAGCGCTCATATATGGCGACCGAAAATCCCTGGCGATGGCATTCAATTGCTGTTCCCAGCCCTGCAAACCCTATTCGCTTTTAATCAGCAATATCGGAAGAGTCACACTTATTAGATGCTTACCTGCTCCAACGACTATGACACGAATGTCGCTCTCAACAGAGGTCAAACGAGATTGTGCGGCATTTGCACTCATCTTGTATCGTATTAGGGGCTCTCGAGACTGACAGGGTAGGATGGCTAGCGTTGTCTGGAAGCGACTCTGACTGGACCTGCTGATTCAAAGACATTTAAAAAGCTTTGAGGAAGGACTGTCGATTATAGGGTCGATTGATTTCTCCAACTCTCACACCTACCGAGGCTGTCTTGGGTGGGACTTTCACGGCGTCTACACTCCATACTGTGTGGGGTATCAAGATGTGGCGGATGGGGATGGGGGAAGTGCCTAGTATAACCGAGCTGAACATGGGTCTGTCCTCTCGGGCTAGAATTATATACCTCTTCGCACTCCGGCCCAGGGATGTCATTGTGGAATATGACAATCTTACTAGCACAATCACTGCAGGTGGTCATTCATTCGTTTGTGCATTCTTGAATATCACATTCAGAAGTCGGCAAATTGTGACAAGGCCATAATTTCACGGACTGCAACGACTCCCCCTCCCCCAAAATACCAGCCAGGTCAAGCATAAGGCCTAAACTGACGATGATGCTCCAATATAAGATGCTTCAAGTCCGCCATCGGAGGCGAGTCACACCGAGAAGGCATATACGGTCTGACAGGCACTATATCAGGGCGTTCAGACTGATCATGCCGGTCTCGCTGCTCTTCTTCGATTCGTCGAACAAGTATATTCAGCAGCAGCCAGTATTCAGAAGCATTCTGAAAGAATCCCACCCGTCGCCAAGAGTCCTCAGGTCGCACGAGGAACCTGTCCTCTTCCTTGGGCAAGCCAAAATTATCCTGTAAGACATATCGTTGGTTCCACGCTAGCTTCCAGTTGTGGATAGCTCTCCGCATCGGTTGAAGCTGTGTATCAATGCCGATTAGAGAGTTGATTTGGAGGGCTTCGGAGCAGAGTGCTGGGTATCACGGACAGTTAGTATCCCCTCACTCAGTCAGGATACACCCAATCGATGAACTAAAAGAGCTATTCTGATGGTTCTTACCGGAGCACACAATCCACAGGTTCAGTATTCCCAGGTGAGATAAGTAGGCTCGCACATCCAAACTAATGTCTGTGCAGATTATAGCCTGGACTATGTCCCGTAGCTTCATTTTGCATTTCCACCCTGGATGAGATGTCCACGTTCGAATCGCAGCTAAGCAGTCTGACGCGGATTGTGCTTGGAAACAAGCCTCTGGACATGCCATCTCTAATGACATTTCCTGGATCCTTGTACGTGGAGGATAGTTGCTGAAAATCGTAAATGCAGTATCAAGTGTGTATACAAACAACATGGTCCTGATCTGAAGTAAGTCAAAAGCTTCACTTATTTACTGCTGGCTGCCTACCGGATACATTCTTCTGTGGCAATAAAGCTATCCCAGCAAAAGTCATTTCCATGGAATGAGTCGAGACTACTATGTGCCACATTGAATAGATTCAAATCTCTGGCCAGCTAACATAGAAATCAGTATCCACAAGAGACCACAAGACGCAACAACTTACCGAAACAAGCATGCTGAACCGCTGACGCCGCATCCTTCTCCGGCTAACTTGGCTTCCTTCACTGATCTGGTACGTGCATACACAGTGTGCAGCTTGAAGAAGCTGGACAATATCCCTCACGTTGACGGTGGCAGGGTCATGCAGCATGATGTCGCCAAAATACTTGTTTAGGAAAACCATCTCCTCCACACTATTTAGCCAGAGCTTGACACTGTGTCTGTCATTGGGGTTGGGCGAGAAACAAGCTCCTATCGTCGCCATGGCCGCTGTAAGATGTGGCGGAGCATGAACTATGGAGAACGTTGGCTTGTGAATGACGGGATAATGTGGATGCCAGGACGTCCAGTAAATCCGAATGAACTTTTCAAGGTTTTTAGGACTGAAGAAACGGACGCAGTCCTTCTCTAGCTGCGGGGTCCATGTATGCATGATTGTCGAGCGTTGAGAAAGATCTCGTATTTGCTGTACGATCTCGGATGCTGGTCTAACTAGTGAAGTTGATTTCTGTGGAGGGAAAAGGTCGTCCGGAGAGACGTCCAGTGGGTATGACGAAGACTCCTTTGCAGTACCTGTAGACTCATTAGGTCCATATGAATTGAACTAGGAATCATTGCAACTCACCAACATTTTGCTGATCTAGAGAGGCGATCGAATCTGTCCGCTGGTCTACGTGTTGTCTCGAGCTAGCATCATTCATAACCTCTCGCCCTGCCCATTGCCTTTCGTACAGCGATCCGCAGTCATATCGAGTCTCAAGTGGAGCGGTTTCCTTGTTCGCAATTCGGGCCAGGAAATTAAACGTGTCGGCCGGGTCAATGTCAATACACGGCACCCCGACAGCGTTTGCTGGGACATGCTGCAAATGACTGTCTTCATCCCGATCCAAGAAGACAGGATCAAGCAGCAATTGGATATCGTCCAATCTCATATCGCTCCAGCGGGTTTCGCTAGATGGTGTCTCGGGTAATAGACACAGCCCATCTGTTTCTCCTGCGTTAGGCTCCGTAGGTCCGGACCGGCTGTGTGTGTCTTCTGTAAGCTGTGGTTGGCCACTGTCGGCAATCTGATTGTAAGGCCCTGTTGAATGCAAGATCTCATTAAGGTCATGCTGTTGCTGTGCGGGCATATTCGCCATGCTTTGTTGATCTTGGGTTGTGACTACCGCGGTATGGCTTATGTGTCCACCTGTTTGTTGCCTGGCTTTCATTCGACATTTATCGAGGTGCCGTTTCATCACATCTCTGCATCAGAGGTAATCGAGTCAATGGGGTCAAACATCCAAGACGCTGTTCTTAACATGGTATCAATTACTCACTTGCGCATGAAGTCCTTCCCGCACTGGGGACATGTCACTGCTTTTCCTACGCCATCTTTGTGTTATGTTAGTAGGTTGATTTTTACTGTAGCCAATGTCTACGTACGAGAGCCAAGGTGCCGTTGGAGGTGTTCGGTCCGTGTGAAGGACTTGGAGCAAAAGGGGCATAGGACTTTGCGCGGCTTAACTCGACGTATTGGCTTCATGTTTCTAGATGTGCCCTCTGCTTGTTTGCATTTGGAACCAGCGAAGTAATCCAAGCTGGATGGAACTCTGGGAAGAGTAGTCCGCTGCACATGACCGTCGACGGAGAACATTACCCCAGATGCGGGGGAGCCCCGCAGGAAGGGCAGATCATCGAAGTCTTGATTTGCCTTTCGATTCAGCCCTAGTCATTTTAGCTCATGCCCCAGGCGGGCCCCATATTTGTGGTGTTGTTGAGCGGGCAAGTGGCGAGCTGGACAGTATCAGGAGCCAACGAGGCACTCGCATAGATCTTGTCGCCCGACTCAGGATGAACTGTATAATGATATGGTCACACAACCCTAAGTCATTGATGACGCTGGAATATGAAATCCATGCTCCAATGTACTGTTATGAACTCTTCACGCAAGCTTATCCAGGGGCGATTGAGCTTTCGAAAGTCTGTTGTTATGTACCGTTGATCCCTCATAACCCCGCTTGCCCATAGTGATCGACACATTTGACTGCCGGTATGCAAGTCGCTTTGAACGTCAGCTGGATGAGGTTGTCTTGCTCTACAGGTGACAAACATCTGTCCGGGTCCTCTCAAAATGCATTGGTGCTGATCAATCCATTTTGATTATCGGGTAACTTTTCCCTGCATTGTAGCCAGGCTGTATGGTCTTGTGGGGGATGCCGCCACATATGTGGGGAGTGTTGTATACCACTCACTGTTTACGGCAGTTGGTTTGCCATAATCCCTTTAGCAGGGTTCCCCGCAGGGCTCGGCTATATGACCTGGTCGAGCTTTATTTTTGCTAAAATTCCGAGCCCGCTGTTTACGTGCGCGTAGTCCATAAGAGCGATATTTTCAGATACCATCCTTTGGGCACTGAACTTCTCCATGGAACACTTACGAACCCTCCTGTCGTCCACCCTAGTCTGGGGAGCGGGTTGCGGTATACTTCTCATAGTTCTCGGAATACTCGTTCACGATGTGATTTTGTGGAAACGCCTACCTCCTGGGCCTCCTCCATTTCCTCTAATAGGCAACAAGCTCCATGTCCCGTCCAAGCATCCCTGGATCAGGTTTCGAGACTGGTCCAAGATATACGGCCCAATCTACACCATATGGTTCGGTCGGCGACCTACTGTGGTCATATCCGACCCAACAGTCGCTGCCGAATTACTGGAAAAGCGATCTACAAAGTATAGCACGCGCCCGCGGTTCGTCACAATGGGGGAGATATACTGGGATATGGCTAGTATTCTTGTCCAGCCGTATGGCAAAGAGTGGCTGGTCCGACGCAAGCTGTTACATTCTGCCCTGACGCCGCGGGCTTTGGACAATTACAAACCGCTGCAGCAAGCAGAATCAGCTCGGCTGTGCTACCAGCTTCTCCAACACGCTGACAGATGGGAGGCATTATTCGATCGTCTTACTGCTTCCATCGTCTTTGCAATCGCCTACGGACACCGCGTCGACGACTTTCGATCCCCTGTGGTTCGCCAGCGACTGGAGTTCATGCAGTATTCCTCCAGTTTGAATGTCCCAGGGGCGTATCTCGTGGAGTCCTTCCCTATCTTGAAAGATCTGCCGGACTGGATGGCACCATGGAAAGCCGAGATCAAACGCCGTGGACGTATCGAAGCGGAGGCGAACATGAACCTCGTTCGCGTGGTCCAACGGGATATAGAGTCCGCGAATGAGGCTCCAGGAACGGCACATATCTTCAATAGTTTGACCAAGCAGCTTCTCGAGATTAGAGGTCAAGATCCTGCATCGTTTCCGCTAACTGACAGGGACTTCAGCTACATACCAGCATCTCTGTTTGGCGCTGGCTCCGATACCACAGCCTCAACCTTGTGCTCGGCGATGCTCGCTATTGTGACCACACCGATGGTCTTGGAGATGGCACAGGCGGAACTAGACTCCGTGGTAGGATATGACCGATTGCCGACGTTTGAGGATATGCGCAATCTCCCGTATCTACGGGCCTTTTGCAAGGAAGTCCTGCGTTGGCGCCCAGTGGCTGTACTCGGCGGAACACCACACGCTTGTTCCGAAGATGATTTCTACAATGGCTACTATATTCCTAAAGGGACGGTTATCTTGGGGAATTCTTGGGCCATCAATCTGAACCCAGAATACTACCCCAATCCCGATCACTTTAACCCTCTCCGGTTTCTCGACGTGGAACCCCATTCTTTGTCCTATCTTTCAGAGCAATACTTGTCATCGACCAAGCAAGAAAAGGGCACGTCGCACCCGAGCAAACTAGGCCACAGCTCATTTGGCTGGGGCCGGCGCATCTGTCCAGGGGCAGATCTGGCGACCAATACTTTGCTGATAACATTGAGCCGGCTATTGTGGTGCTTTGATATTCGGCCCGTCCCTGGAAGAACCTATGATACCTTGGACTACTCTAGTGGCTTCAACATCAGGCCCCGGAACTTGCATGTGAAGATCAAAGTCCGGTCAGATCACCATGGGGGAGTAGTCGAAAGGGAGTACGGAGATGCATCGGAGTTTTTAGAGACGCTGCCCCCCTTCGAAGACAGTCTACCAGAGCATTCCCCTATCAAAATGTGAAAATAGCCTACACCCCGAATATCAAGATTGATATCACTTACGAGCGGCTTCTCGCAAAGGTCAGGAATAACCCTGCCGTACAATTCCTTATTGCGACGTTGAATGAGCTATATATTCTGCATACTAATACATCTTTCGTCATTGCATATTTGTCCGACTAAAGAAATAGAAAATACAGCTTCTTGAAAAGTTCCCTCAGATACTTCGGCACTTTCGGCAACCCGAAGGCCGAAAACCCGAACGAAAGAGGTCTAGCGGGATCCCAACTGCCCATGTAGATCAAAGTATCAAATCAAAAGGGTCACTCATGTCCAAAATACACTCCCATATCCCCAAAAAAAGGGGCGTTGGAATATAGATCCAAGTGTAATGAAAGCAAGGGGTTCGGCATGCCGAACCTGGTAACTTAGCAGGTTTAAATAAGATGCAGTATCCCCTAGATGGAATGGCCAGATACAGACCTGAGCTGGGGAATATCAATCCCACAACATGCGAGAGAATAAGCTTAAAATCACAATCCACGTGGTTGCTATCAATGTGCTTAAAGTAGGTTGTCTGAGTCACAGTCAGACTGCGCAGCACGTGATGGCCTTGACATCATGATGTCCCATGGTCAAATTTTCTTGCGTTACAGCCACAGACAAAGGCGCATGGCGTTATCTAATACGGCTGTCTATGGCTTCGCATGGGATACTTTCAGCTGTGAGTAGTTCAGTCTCTGTTCTTAATTTCTTTGAGAACGATGATCGGGAGGATCAGTGGATCGTCAACTCTCTACATGATCTCCCAAAAATTTCTTTCAAGGCTAACTTGTCTATCGTAGTGTGATTTGTGCTACTCGAGAAAGGTCTGTTGATCTTGCAATCTGCATGAACCGCTAACCAACGCCTCAAAAGGTGAAATGTGATAGACAAGAGGTGTGTGCAAATTGCGTCGACGCTGGTGTCGAGTGCCGAAGGAACCGGCCAAAACCGCGATCAAGGCAAAAGGCACATTCAGGGTACGGAAGCCAATTGAACGTGTTTCTGTTGCCACATTCTGATTACTGATCCTAGGGTATCGTCTCTCGAGGAACGGCTCTTGAATCTGGAAAGGTTAACGGCTTTATCAAGAGGGTACGCTCGGTGATCTGCGAATTAGGCTAAAGCCAGACTGACTGTTTTATAGAAACAGTCTCAGTCCAAATGCCGGGAACGAATTGTACGAGTCTCAGGGAGAAGCTCCTTCCAAGAAGAGAAAAATTGACGATGGCTTTGCTCGGTCGAGGAGCGCTCCCAATGAGACCGCCGAATGGGCTTCGCCTTCAGAAGACTCCACTCATCGCGCAAAGCAAGCCAAGGTCATTCTACAGAACGAACTCAATTTCGATGGCTTTCTTGATAGTGAGAGGCATACTATACTCAGGTCTGCCTTGGCTTTAGTGGACAGGATCGCCAGCAGGAAAAATCTCGGTCCTGGTGGATCTTCGCGATCTCCGGGAAGCTATACTCAAGGCCAAATTGTCGTCCCTGATGGACCACCAACAGAGTTGATGTATATGCTACTTCGAGGTATCGTATGACCTCACTCCTTTTGGTGCCTTCTGACCACCGCAGAATACTCGGTTGTCATTGAAGGATCCAATGAGACCAACATCCACTGGCCCGATCATATCTCCGGAAAGACGCTGGAGACGATGGTCACTCGTCTTCTACAGGATGAGACTGATGAGCAGTCACACCATCAGCTTAGCGTGTGTATCTATACCAAGGCAGTATCCCATCTGTATCGACTGTTCAAGCTGTCCCGAAATCCGACACTTAAGAGACAATATTTGAGATCTAAAAGAGAGTACGAGACGGCTGGCCTTTACGCGCTTCAGCGGATCGACGTCTGCAGCACGCCGAGTCTTCTTTTGATCCAATCGCTGATATCTGGCGTAAGTATGGATGCGTACTATCTTCCTTTAGTGAGAAACTGACAAAGTAACGAATTACATCCAGGCCTTGTTAATGCAGAAACTTGGAAAGATGAATCAGTCATGGGTACTCAATTCATACGCGGCACGGCTGATCGTCTCGCTAAACTATCATGAAGTTGACGGTTTTACGCCGGACTCTGGCATGAATGAGGAAATACATAGTTCACTATGGGGCTGTTATTATTTGGATAGAACGTTGAGTTATCTCTTTGTTCGGCCTCCATCGTTGCCGGAGCTCCGGGTCCCTCCTAGCCAGCTAGTCCACGCTGACACTACATTGCTGTATGGTCCTTTGATAGGGATCATTCTGGATTTAGCCCAAGTCCAGGGCGAGCTTCTTGATCTTTTGCTCAACGGACAGCGCAAGTTTGCTGCGGAGGTTTCTGCCAAATACGAAAATATCCAAGCACGCATGAGCAAAATATACTCCGACCTTCACTCGGTGAGCATTCCATTCGTTCTTGGTGTATTGCATCTCACACATCGGACTCTAGAGACGTAGCTCTCTTCCTCCCACTGTCACCAACGAATACCTTTCGGCCGACTTTTGTTACCACGCGATTTTAGTCGATGTGTATCGGGCGCGGTTAAAACATCACCCCGATGCCGAAACGTACAAGGAGTGTTTATTATCGGCCCGAGCATCGCTACGAGCATTTCAGTCGCTTGAGAAGGATCTCGCATATGAGTTGGGTCTTGAAGACCCATGTCCATATTTCTTGACATGGTCAGTGGCCAGATCTGGTCTTCCATTTCCACGTAGAAGTCAGCTGATGGTTTTCCAAGGACGGTCTTGCTGTACCCGCTCAGTCCATTCTTTGTCCTATTTTGCAACGTCGTCCGGGAGTCTGATTTTGAGGACTACACCTTACTGAAAGAGGTTACCCAGGGCTTATCGCGGATCACCGGCAATTCATATGTCTCGAAAATGTTGGATCTCCTGACCGCACTACAGAATTTGTGCGAGCCATTGTTCCAGACGACCATGGACATCCAGCAAGGTTCTCAAGTCTCCGAGACATATGGCACGATGGATGGCCCGGTGTACCAGGCGGTGGCCCCCGACACAACAAATCATACCTCGCTAGATTGCAGCCATCCAGGTCCTCCGAGTACAGAGCCTGTTATTGAACCATCAAGCACCGGCATCCTTCCACCGGAGATGTATCCGGAATCGTCCACGTCCACTGACGGGCTCATATGGCAGCTTTTTAATAGCCAATTTTCGCTAGGCTGGTTTGACGTGGATTATTCTCCGTTAAATGGCCATTGAGAGGGCTTATATCCACGCTAGTTAGCTATTAGCTGCGTGCGCCTTCGGCACTCCACTTGGTGAGGGCAGGGGCCGCCGAGATTTTATTTCCAGACCAACGGAGAAGTCTTTTTTACGGAGTAGTTGTGGATTAGCTTTGATGTATGGGTCTATGGCTGAGCCAAGCACTGGACAAAAGAATAGCTTAGATGTGTGGATCTGGACTCGAACAGACATGGCGGAATGTGTCACCACCGTAGACTCGATGGTGTTGTGTTACATCGAGTACGCTATGCAACGCTACGTTGGTCCAACACGGTCCTCGCATAGTTTCTGGGGGTAGAATTGCCATGATGGCCTGTCCGTCGGAAAGTTCTAGAAGGAGTAAAAAGCCCAAGCAGGCTAACTATAGCACTGAATTGAGTAATAATGCATCTCCATGTGAGAGAAAGCAGACGTGAGAGTGCTGTGTTAGAGATTCAGGGCTGATGAGGCGGAAGTCACATCCGCCCCATAGTTCGGCGGGCGACCAATCAGAATCGCTGGAAATGGCCGAAATAGGACATTAGCTAAGCGCGTCCCCAGGGTCCCCATCGACGAAATCATTCTCCCAAGGTCCCCAAAAAACCACCACGCTTGGAGGGGGAGTGGGATTTCTGCCCATCATGGCTCCCTCACCTCTTCGTCACCATCTCCCCCTCCTTCTCTCTTCAGTCCTCCTCATTTCGTCTCGTCCGCCTGGAACTCCCTGCGAAAAGTCAAAAAGCCCTTGACATTACCGGTTTCCTTTCCCTCGACTCTCCTACATACCTCGTCCAGATCCGTCCCAACCAAGCGAGATAGAGATAGACATCCTGCGTCGTCCCACCACTCCCAAGGTCCCCAGAAATCCCTGTCGCGGTCTTACTTGGCGGCGTAGCCGACAGGACCAAGTGGAGGGCAGGTACCTTGAGGACAGGCCACCGACACGCTCTAAATGGGCTACCTGTACGACACGACTGGCTATATAAGTTAGAGCATCGTGGGACAAGAAATCCCAAGACCTCCAAGAACAGACCGAGACTTCGGATTCTTGCAGTCAAGCTCTTTCTCGCATTCCACACTCCACGTGTTTGATCGATCGTCGCGGGCTCCCGTCGCCCCTGTCACCATCCCTTACTATCCCTTGCACGTCATTGGACAGGTCTTGATTCCCGATCGGCACTTGGTCTGTGCGATCCGATCAGGCCCAGCATTGTGAAGTGTCTCGGGCACCTGCAGACTGCATAACCAACCAACCCAACAAGACAAGCGTCATGCAACTCCTTCGTTCCCTCGTCGCTCGCGAGGGGGAGTCGACCCCAGTCTGTGACACCGGCAACGAGTATGACGGACGAATGGGTCTGCGGATTTCCTCCATCTTCGTGATCATGGTCGGCTCCATGTTCGGTGCCATCTTCCCCGTGCTAGCCAGCCGCTTCCAGAAGTCCCGCGTACCAGGATGGGCGTTCTTCATTGCCAAATACTTTGGCTCCGGTGTCATCATTGCCACGGCGTTCATTCATCTTCTAGCCCCGGCAGAGGAGGCTCTGACCAATGAGTGTCTCACGGGTCCCATCACCGAGTACTCCTGGGTCGAGGGCATCATCCTGATGACCGTGGTTGTGCTCTTCTTCGTCGAGCTGATGGTCATGCGCTACGCACGCTTCGGTCAGGGCCACCACGGCCACGACCACGGAGACGATTCGGCCTCGGACGCGACCCACGACCACAACGGCGTGGGCCACCTCGACAAGCACCCCGAAATTGACGCCTCTCAGACCCAGCCCCAGAGCCACATCCCTGGCGAGGACCATCTGGGTCATTCGCGCGAGCACCAAGACCCCGAGATGGCGAGAAAGAACTCCGCGCTGGAGGAGTACATGGCGCAGCTGACGTCGATCTTCATCCTCGAATTTGGCATCATCTTCCATTCCGTCTTCATCGGTCTGACCCTGGCGGTCTCCGGTGAGGAATTTGTCACGCTGTACATCGTGCTCGTCTTCCACCAGACCTTCGAGGGTCTGGGTCTGGGCTCCCGTCTGGCCGCCATCCCATGGCCACGGTCCAAGCGATTGACCCCGTACTTCCTGGGCATCGCGTACGGGCTGTCCACCCCGATCGCGATCGCCATTGGGCTCGGAGTGCGCAACTCGTACCCCCCAGAGGGGTACACGACGCTCATCGTCAACGGCGTGTTCGACTCGATCTCGGCGGGCATTCTCATCTACACGGCGCTGGTGGAGCTGATGGCCCATGAGTTTATGTTCAGCACGTCGATGCGCAAGGCGCCGATCTCGACCGTGCTGGCTGCGTTTGGTCTTTTGTGTTTGGGTGCATTGTTGATGGCGCTACTCGGAAAATGGGCGTAATTGGGCTTTTATTGTATGATTTAATGACAATGTAATGCTAGTACATAGATCGAGTCACTGAATCAGTTCACAAAAATAACAATCTACTAATTTGTCCACAATGCCCGTGCTCTTGGCCCTACCTAACCTCCTCCGTATATAACATCCCCAAGTGGAGATACCCCCTAGTTAGTCTCCGCCCAATCCAACCACGTTTCACCTCTGACCTCCCACACCCATCTCCACCAACACAACACTTCCCTCCTTACAACAACCTACCCATTTCAATTCAATTCAATCAAATAACAACCCAAAACCAACAACCACAATGCGTCTCTCCATCCTTTCCTCCCTGGTCACCCTGGCCCTCGCCACCCTCACCCACGCCGCCGACCTCGGCATCGAAACCACCCACCAAGTCGACTGCCAGCGCAAGACCGTCAAGGGCGACACCGTGCACATGCACTACCGGGGCACACTGGCGGCCGACGGCTCCGAGTTCGACTCGAGCTACAACCGCGGCACGCCGCTGCGGTTTCCGCTCGGCGGGGGACGCGTGATCAAGGGGTGAGACTATCCCGGTCCCTGCGTGGGCGTCCAGGATAGAGAGACAAATGCTGACAAGGGACAGATGGGACCAGGGCCTCCTGGACATGTGTGTGGGCGAGAAGCGCACGCTGACGATCCCGCCTGAGTACGGGTACGGGGAGCGTGGAATCGGACCCATTCCTGGCGGTGCGACGCTGGTGTTTGAGACGGAGTTGGTGGAGATTGAGGGGGTGCCAAAGGATGAGCTTTGAGCGGTGGATGTTGTGGTGTAGGGGGGTGTTGGAGGAATATGAATATCTTACGAAGGTCTATGGATGTACATATGGGTATCTGCCTCTACTATATTACAAGGAATCGGGGCCCAGCGTTCGCGGACTCGACTTGAAAACCGAAAGATCAATCAATCCATCGCATCCAGCGCATTCTCCGGCTCATTCTCCGACACCAAGATCCCCACCAGACACTCCCCCAGAATGGCATCCCAGTTAACCCACGGATGTATCTCGAAGAACAGCTGGCCGGAGTCCTTGCCCGCACCGCGGAGAAGCTCGCCCTTCCCACCAGGATGGAATGGTAGATATGGCGTGATGTTGTACACCTTGCCTTGGTACGAGGTCCAGGCGTCGGTGCCCTTGCGGCCGTTTTGCGCCTTCAGCATTGACGGCGTCACGCGGATGGGGTGCGGTGGCACGTTCGCGCCGCGCAGGTTGTGCTTCGGGTTCGCCGTCAGCGCCGCCCAGTCCAACGGTGAGAAGCCCGGTTCAAGCACCGCCCCGCTTCGACGTGTTGTTTGCCGGCTTGACTGAGGGTGTCGCGGGCGGCGCGAGACCGGTGCTGGGGCGCGCGCGCGCGTTCGCCGCTGCGGACGGTGGCGGGCGGAGCGCCGCATTGCCCGTGGGGGGTTTCGGGCGAGGAGGGTAGGCTCTGGGCGGTGCGAGGAGAGAGGGGGCCTGTTGTTGCGGAGTCGGACGGAGGCGAGGCGGCGGCGGAGGAGGCATCAGCGACGAACTACTTCCGCTGGAAGGTTGCGATGGCGGTGGTGGTGGCGGCATAAGGATATTTGGAGGGGTATTCTCGACACCGTTGGTTGCGGAGGGACTCGCAGGAATGGGAATGGATGCGTTGGAGGATGACTCGGCATTGCTCTCGTTCCCCAGGTTCAGGGTCGGGACTTCCAGCGCAGGCGCATTCGATGCCGATGCTTTGGGTGTGGATTGGGAGTCTTGAATGTCGCCCTCATTGTCTGGCGCATTCGAAGCGCTTCTAATGGTGTTGGATGTCGCATCTTTGGTCGCGGTCGAGCGTGGCGGCTCAGAGGACGGTTCCACCGGCGCTGATGGAGGAATGGGGTCCGAGGTCCATGTGGAAGGAGGGTGACGATAGAGTAGATAGCAGGCGGTCGCGATCAGCGTGGCGGCTCCGACCCAGCCCATCGTCTGCGCCGTGTGGTTGAGAAGGGGGATGATAACAAGGAGGAAGCAGATAATGAGTTGCCAGGTCACGGGATGGTCGGGAACCGCCAGGAACCCTAACTCTAGTCTTGCCTTTCCCGGCTTAGCGTGGTGGTCCATGCTGCCTGCCATATCTGGAAATGCCTGTTGCCTGGAAATACAGGCACCTACATACCTACTCATCTACCAGAAGTTATTTCTTTCCAATTGTCTCCTCTTTCTATTCCGTGATCCCTACAACAGAACACATCCCGAACAGTTGTACCGCTAGTTCACATACCTGGCATACCTATGAAGATCGGGGATTCCGCCGAGACAGCGTGAAGCAAAAAAACTTCGGGGATCTTGAGGGCCCTGTTCGTCGTATTATACTATCTTCTGAGGAATATATCATTAAATGAAAACCTAGAAGCATCTAATCCTCGATGGTCTAACGGTTCATGATTTCCGCTTGTCACCATAAGGAACAAGCGCGGGAGACCTGGGTTCGACTCCCAGTCGGGGAGATTATGTTTTTCAGTTTTCACTGAGATCTTTTTTTGGCCTCTGCATGTGCTCACCAAAGCAGGGGAGGAAAAGAAAGGATTTAAGCGTGGGCCCTGAGTTATCTATCACCCGCAGAACACACGGGCCATGACGGAGATGTCCGGGCTTGTCAAAGACCGGCGATCTCTTGGGTTCCATACATTGAACAGCATTCCTCGATGGGCTGGCGGCTCTACCCGACTCCGTTGCGATCATACAAGCTGAATCTCCCCAGGTATCTCGGTGTTCCGACGGATACGGCGTGAGGTACAGGACAGAAACCATCATACCACAGCACTCTTGTGTCTCCATATCAATCATCAGCTCTACAGACACATGAGCGATCCCACGAGGGAGAATCGGGACTATCGCGACAGACCTGTGGGCACCGTTAGTTCCTTTGTATGCAACAGTCCTCAAGGCTTTGGTGGCTGGGAAGTTTATTTCTGCTCGAGTCATTACACGCTGCTTCTAGAGCTAACTAGGTACCTAAATCAGCCCCAATTACTTGGGCTGCAACGCTCATCTGCCCATTGTGACCCGGATGGATATGCCGTAAACATGCAAACCTCCGGCAGATCACGTCCATCTTCCCAGCAGTGAGGGATGGAACAGGATCTCTGTAGGAAATGCCTTGATCCCGTGCCCTTACTCTGTCCCTCTTATTTATTAAGGGTCCTGCCACCCTGTCTGCAGGAATAAGCACGCATCATCCGCAGGACAAGCTCACCTTTATCTCGGAAGTTGACCGACGCGCCGCCCCCTGCTACTCAGAGGGAAAGCCAAATATATATTTGATCATTACCAGCCACCATGGGCTCGGCATCAGTCAAGACCCGGGGGTTAGGAGGACACATCGGACGCGAGCACAGTCACCTACAATGGTCCAAACACAACGCCTCCGTGCTGACCGTATCATCCGGCGAGACTGTGACCTTCGATGCAATTGACAGCAGCAACGGCCAAATCACACCTGACTCCGACGCCACCGCCCTGCGCACCTTCGACACCAGTTTAGCAAACCCTGTCTTTGGCCCCGTTTTCGTTCAGGACGCACACCCTGGTGACGTTCTGAAGGTCCAAGTGGTCGACCTACAAATCGCCGACTGGGGCTGGACAGCGATCATCCCCGGGTTTGGACTGCTGGCTGAGGAGTTTCCGACGCCCGTTCTGCACATCTGGCGGCAGCTGGACCAGGCGGGCGGATACACATGCTTCAAAACCGGCGGCCAAGGAGAGACAGTGACAGACAGCGATGCCGACGATGTTCAGAAAAGTCGCATTCGTGTCCCGCTGCGGCCGTTCCTAGGGTGTATGGGCGTTGCTCCCGCGACGGACGATGGACTGTCCACAGTGCCGCCCACCGATGCGGGGGGCAACCTCGACTGTTGCGACTTGACCGTCGGCTCGATCGTGTATTTGCCCGTGCTCACCGATGGGGCGCTCTTCAGCTGCGGCGACGGCCACGCCACGCAGGGCCACGGCGAGGTCTGCGGCAGTGCAATCGAGACCCCCATGAAGGCGACGCTGCGGTTTGAGGTGCTGAAGGGCCGATCGTGGGTGACTGCGCCGCAGTATGAGATCCCCCCAGCGGTTGCAGACGCCGGCAGAGATTCAATCCCCGATCGCGGTCGATATGCCGTCATGGGCATTGCTCCGGATCTCATGGAGGCGTCACGGAGGGCTGCCCGACATCTCGTGCAGTGGCTGGTTGAGGCGAAAGGGTTGACTCGCTGTGTCGCGTACATGCTGGCTAGTGTCGTGGGGGATCTCCAGATAGTGGAGACGGTTAACGTCCCTAATTATGTGGTTGCGATGTCCATTCCATTGGGGATTTTCGAGTGATGCGTTCATATTGAGGCTTGTAGGATTTACGCGGCCAAGCAGTTTATGAGCAGAATGGATTTCCAAACTGGGTATGGCAGGGGAAACGCTTCCTCAGACAACAAAATTTAGGATATGCTATGAGTTAATGTGTCGCCTACCTATCTTTATTCCATCGTCGCTTGATGGGACAACATGACTTGAGAGCCTTACTAGACTGATCTTATTCATTATGTCAATTAGGGCACGTCGGTAACATCAAATCCTCGATGGTCTAACGGTTCATGATTTCCGCTTGTCACCGTAAGGAACAAGCGCGGGAGACCTGGGTTCGACTCCCAGTCGGGGAGATTTTCTTTTTTTATCTTTTTGCTCCCTCTCCATGTGACCAAGGAAAAAAAAAAAAAAAAACCAAAGAATCAAATTCTTTGTCGTTGGTCTTTGTCCGTAGTATATTGTTGGTCCTACTTGCAGGCCCAAGATGCCGATTCCACTGTTCTCGTGTTAAGCCCATGCCAGCGTTGGAAGATCCACCAAGTAGATAAAATAGAAAGAGCTACTGCCGGTGAGCTTCTACCAAGCTGCCATAGATACAGAAAATATATGGCCTACTAGTCTTCAAACTACGGACATTCTCAACAGAAGAGCTTTTGGGTACCCTTCCCTTCGGGGCAGTATGAGAACCCCCAAGACTCTGGACCTCGTCTAGACACCTCCTCTCGCCGACAGATGCACCGGTGTCACATATGTACATACGACTAAAAAAACGCCGATGTACTGAGCGACCCACGTACTTAAAAGAAACCGTATCTCCGACTGGCACCGGAGGTAGACGTCGTGGCAGAAGCACTGCCCGAAGACACACTCGCGGTCGAAGGTCTCAAGGTACCAGTAGCCGACTCGGTATTGGGCACGCTAGTTGAGCCCGATGTCGCGGAAGTCGAGGCACCGGTAGTGGTCGTGGAAGTGCTGTTGGACGCGGACTGTTGCGGACCATCCGCATACACAGACCATGCATGGTCGCCGCCACCTGTTGTTGAAACAGCATGTGAGTAAGCTGGACCTCTACACGGGCAAGGAACAGGTGCGATGTAAAAACTTACACATTACATTCGGGAATCCAGCACATGCAACATTGCATTTCGATTTCGGCACCGACACGCTTGACGGAGGCACCTCGTCACCACAGAAGCACTTGGTGCCGGCGTTCGTCGCCATGACGGGCTTTTCCAGTCTGCTGCACACCTCGGTGCAATATCCGTCAGACTGGAAGGTGTAGCCGCCCTCGAAATCCAGGCTTCCGGGATCGCTGTAGCAGCCGACATAGGAATATGCGTTAGCTGCGAAGGGTAGGGCGAGGGACAGGAGTGCTGTCAACTGGGACTTCATCTTGGTGTGCAGGTAGGCAGTTGTTGGAGGGTTGGACTCAGGGATTGAGGCGGGACGCCGGCTGACTCGGGTTATTCTTTGGCCCCCAACTGTCCGGATGCCGCTTTCCACGCTAAAAGCTTCATTAATGGGCTAAAGCCCAGATGTCTCAGATTCTTACCCAAACCGGCAAGTATAGGAAAATGATGATTCAGCCTGACTAGGACTTTGCTTTATTTTGTTGGATGGTCTTCTGGCCCGGGATAGGCATCATGCGGTGATTTTGGATCTATGTGTGGTTTTAGCTGTCTGACTGTCGTCATCATTGATTAGTGTTAGTGGTCAGAGATGATCAGCTCAAGATCGTAACTGTCCGATGTTCCTGCGGCCGACTGCATCGCAATGTCCTACATACAGCGATACGGCCTTCCTGACAGCTTGTGCGATGTATGGCCATGTCTTCTGGGTCTAGGGCATGTGGTTGAGAAACCGGCATTTGGTAGTGCGGCATAGAGAGTGTTAGATTCTAAGGCAGGGAATGTAGTATACAGTTTCAATAACACCCTACCTTTGTTTCAAGGTGCCACGGCACAATATCCTCTGCGTCATGCACAGGTGCAGCACTAGATCAATATTATTGGCGAATATGTTCTTCTCACAGTCCTGCTTGGTGGTTACATGTGCCATCCACATATTGATCTCCCCACATAGAGATGTGATATCACGTTGATTATGACCCCAGCCCGCCTCTGTCATTGTAGTGGAGTTTGACCACTGCGGGAACGACCTACTTACTGTACAACCACGGTGTCTTAGAAAAGAGCAAATGACAGATTCACAGCTACCCTCTCTTGTCCGGCACCCCATCGACCCTTACGATACATCAAGATGTTAATAAAAGGCTGCCATATAATCAAAAAAAAGATCATCTCCCCGACTGGGAGTCGAACCCAGGTCTCCCGCGCTTGTTATCCTGTTGGATTGACAAGCGGAAATCATGAACCGTTAGACCATCGAGGACTGGATAAAAAAGATATGTCTTATTATGTAAAATAAGTGAAAACATTTTGGAGGCCCATGCATCTTTCTGCAACCAACAGAAAAGCGCAATTACTCGGGTCTTAGCTGGCTAAAACTGCCGCCAATCATATCCAGTATGCCTAGTGCCTAACATTGGTATATCGACATTAGTATATCGTTTTCGCCGATGTAGATATATATAAGCCTACACGTGGCGGTATGGTCGCTTTTACACCTGGGGTGTGTCCAGATAATAACTAACCAATGGGCAGTTCGTTAGTGTAGTACCGATTATGAGGTGTCCATCGACAACTTCGCCTGTCGTTTAGTGGGCATACGTGTCCAGGGGCGGTGGCAGAATGGGCCAAACAACCCGCCAGATGGGGTGCAGCCAGGAAAACAGGTTACTTCTACTGCAATCAGGCTCCCAGAACGGAAAATATCAACACAGTAAACGCGTCATATCCGTCGACTACAGGGGAAATAATAATAATAATAATAATACTCGATTATATACGGAGTACAGCCATCCCCTCCCTTTCTTGGGAGCCAAAAAAAAAATGAAAGCCCAACGCGGGGGTCACCCGCAACCTTAAGATTTCAGACTAGAAGTCTTACGCTCTGCCATTGAGCTAGCCGGGCTGGTGGTTAGCTCGCTGCAGAGTTAACTGTCTTAAGAATAAAAAGTGATACCCACACCAACAGTAGCCGTCAACTGAGTAGGTTAACATCTTGCCTTGGTCTTGCGTATCGAAGACTTATATGAGGAGGGGACGAAGATATTTGGAAGCAAAGACGAGCCGAGCCAGGGAATCCACGGTTTTATGTCTTTGCCAAGGGTGGTCCACCCAGCCAACTGAGTTCCATGTGAGCAGTTTGCGGCTGATACCCTTTGTCATTATTGCCACCCTCCGCCACAGGGTCGAGCAACAATAAAGATAGATCGGGATTTAGCGCTGCAAGCCCCCTACAGGACTTCAAATGATAGCCAAACTCCGTGTTTCAGATGTCAGCACGTTCCCAAAGCACATGCTTTGTTCCTTCTCGTTTTTGTCCCTCCTACCTGGAGCCTGATAGGTGATCGATTGCACGGATACACATTGCATAAATTCAAGAAATCTATCAACAATAACACCTGCAGCCAGAGCCTGAATAATATGAGCCCTGGCGGAGCAAGATGAACTAGTACTGCCTCTGCCAGTCTTGAAGAACTGCAATAATGCAACAGAACTTACGGTAGGTTACTCAGCGTAAGGTTGCTCAACTTCAGGTTACTGGGCCTAAGACTCAGTCGCCCCTAATAGGGCTAATCTTTCTCTGTATCGTGTCTCGCAGTCCTCTATCCCCCGCACAAGCTTTCGTATCCCCTCAAAGCTCTTTTAAAAGAGAGTCTTGTACGCCTACACTTTCTCTTTAGCTTTTATAGTAGTCCTTCTTATAGGCCTAATCTACTTTATTTCTATACTAGAATCATTAAAACATAAGCAGAAGCTTATGCTATATATAGCCATGATAAGGGGGATACCAAGTAGACAGCAGAGGATAGAGAAGAGATAGGCTAAGACCTTGTGAACAGTAAGCTAGGAGAGTGGGGTAGAACAAGAGAGAGAACAAGAAAGACAAGAATAGGTAGAGGGTAAAAGGAAAAGATGTACATGTCAGTTTGAAGGGTGAGGTGAATGGGATGTGTGTGCCAGGTCACCTTTGTCTCAAATTTCACTTTGGTCTTTTTGCGTTGACTTCGCTTACTGTTGTCCAGAATTCTTCGAGAGTCAATAAACGGAGCAACGAATTTTCGAAAATCACAATGGACTGCTGACTAGGCAGTAGTCTGAAGATGACCCAACCGCTCATTCAGCCTTGAAAGGAGCGTTCTTAAGTGATCGTCGAAGGGAAAACAACAAAAACATATCTCCCCGACTGGGAGTCGAACCCAGGTCTCCCGCGCTTGCTCCTTACGGTGACAAGCGGAAATCATGAACCGTTAGACCATCGAGGAATTGGTGAGATCCACTTCTTATTTTTGACATTATGATAGATTAAACATAGGGGAAGATCTGGGTGGTGAAAGATCCGCTTTAATGCCACTCTTATTGAACCCCCGGAAGTTTTGCTTTAAGAACAGTAGACCATTTTCCATTGTGATCGAATGAATCACATGGGTTTTGCATGTATTGGGGTACCTTACCTACATTGGAGTTACAAGGAATGTACCTAACTCCATGCGATGAGCTTCCAGCCCATACGTATGCGAACATCATTCCTCCTGATCCTATCCCTAGTGGGGAGCTTTTTGTTGCTCCAACATACTCTATTTTCCTCAGTCAGAATTGTAAAGTAATGGGATCTAAAAAGTCTAAGACTGTAGATTTAGGCAATGTATTTGAGCCTCCTCCTCTTCCAAGTCAGGCGGGGGATGAAGAATCTTTCACTAGGCAGAGGTCCAGATCCACGACCCGTCCGGAATTAGTAGCTCGGTTAAGATAGGGTCTGACCAGGGAGCATCTATAGGAAGCAATATTCTAACTGTTGGTTTATCCAACGCGGCGAGTCCTCCAGAGAGAAGCATTGCATAGTATATAGTAGGGCTAGAGCCTAGCCATACTAGTGCTTATATTCCAGTGTTCTTTTGGCCTTTTTCGGCAGGGGTATCCAACTTGATTTTAGGAAGTTTCAATAGGTTGTTCAACTGACTCGCTCCTAAAACGTCTCTCTAACAAAGGAAAAGAAAATACACTACAACCGCAAGCCTAACTCGCCAATAACACATAGGACAAAACGCACGAACTACACAATACGACTGCACTATTAAGAAACTCCCACCCGTCTCCTCCCTGCCAATTTCTGCCTATTAGGTCTCAAATAGGAGCTACGTTCAGTGTCAGGAAGTATACAAGCAGAGGCAGCTCTGTCCTGCTTAGATCCCTTAGATCCCTTGCTCAATCCCCACGTAGGGCTATGTGTAGTGAGTGGGCTGCTGGTAATCGGATGATCCGTGCCTTGAGGTGTAACTTGCGTCATCTATTGTGTCGGAGGCGCGGCCTCGTCAACATCTCTGGCATCAAAGGATGGCCGGGGTGGCCGTGGCGATGACGACAACCGTTCCCCCAGATGAGACCTCACGGGCGTGAAAAGGCTTTGTCGAGATCCAGGAGACCAATTGGAAATTTTAGCGCATCTCTTTTGGCGCTCCGAATTATCTCGAGATCCCAGGTGCATAAGATAAGTTGGAACCGCAAACGAGATGCATTGGACGGGGCCGAGTCCTCCATGGAAGGGCCCGGGCAAGCAGTAAAGAATAAGAATCAGGATCAGTCGCCAGCCAATTGTGTTTTGCACCAGATAGAAGTATTCCGTCAAGATCGAAACAGACAAGCCACCTTGTAGTCGAATGGCTCCCAAGCCGTGGGCTTCGTCCATCGCATCCACCCGGCGTCTAGACACGCCTCTGTTCGTCCTCTTGTTCGGACATCTCCATTGTTTGGACGGACTCACTCTCATTCTGGGCAGGCGTGTTAGGTCTTACTTTCCTTCTCGGAAGAACCTTTGGGATCCCTCTCTCCACTTATACCAGAATTCAAAGCGGCCGAATACTCAGACAGTGAAGGATATAAGACGCTTTCGGTCACAGTATCAGGACTCTCACTAAGACGCATCGGAACATCTGAGTCCATGGGGAGTTCATTTGACCTGATACCATGTTGAATCTCTCGCGACGTCACAGATAGTCTCCCCAGCCATATATAAATAGCCCAACCTCCTCTTCCTGCCCGCGCTTCCCCTCACGAGGCTGTTTGGCCGGAAAGACAGCCTAGCCCGCCTCGGGCTGTATCCTTGCTGCATAATCGCCGGCGCCGTCAGCCATGCAACTGCGGCAATCTAGCCCCAAAATAGCAGGAGACCCATGCCAAGATCGGAAGCCCTTTCCAGACAGAGAGAGCACTCCGCCAGTCCTACGGGTCAGATGACAGGAGCTCTTTGGGGATCTTTCATCTTCAGCTCCAGCGACGATGCTTATCCGGTCTGGCTGCTGTCCGGGGAGGATCTCCAGATGGGGAGGATTTGGTGCAAACGATAGCCATTGGTTCATTCATATTCAACAGAGATTCAACCCGGTAAAGGGAGTAGAAAGGGTAGGTGGAGCATCTTACATGAGGCCTTCTGTCAAGGAAGAATGCTGAACGGAAATGGAAGTGCGCACTTGATAGCGGAAAGGGGCAGAAGTGTCAGGAGGCAGCCAGGTTTGAGGCCATGCGCTCAAAAAAAAGGACCTGTTTAGATCATTACTTTCAAGGCACTGGATGGACGAGACAGTTATGTTGGCTAGAGGGTGTTGATTGATATAATTTGAGATAATTTGACGTTGAGTACGAAGTCCTTCTCCCGCTTAACGACACATGGGCGTAAGGAAATAGTTTGGTGCTTCAGTATGATGAAAGCGTGACTAAGTGGTGGTGACATGTTAAAAAGTTGAGACGATATATAGAGCATACCTGTAAGTTCTATAGGAGCAATCGGCAGCGCCCTGCTAACCGGCGGCCTTAAGACTTGCTTAATTCATACACTGCAAGCAGAGTCTTTGCTTACCGAGTACTCCTTTTCCCAGGGACAAACATTTGTCGATTATGTTCGCTTCCATCTTATTGTTTGCTATGTTTCTCTGCTCATTTCCTCCTAGGGTCGAGGTTTTCTTTGTTCTCCGACCCCCCTGAACTGCCATTATCTAGTTAGGTCTTATCATTGTTGCTACTCAAGTATCCTATTAACACCAACAGTCACCCCCATATCAACAGCAAGGCAAGGATAGAGTTTAATTAGATCGTCCAGACGCCCATAATCCCATAGCCGTCGTCGGCTGGTTCGTGCCTGGCAGTCTCGGCGTCTATCCATGGATCTGCTGGCTCCATCGCCAGGCACCCTCCGCCTATGAGCAGCAGCAGCCTGGTGGAAATCTTTCCAGCACAGCGAACGAGAACGACATACTTCCAACAAGCAAGACGGAAGGACAGCCAAGAGATCTAACCGGATCCAGAGGAAGATTGAAAACAAGAGAGCATGATGTAGATAGGAGGTGGGGGTTTAACTTGAGAATCTCATTCAGAGATTTCCGTCTTGCCATCTGCAGACAAAGGCTCGCAGGGCCCTATGTCAAATATTGTCTCTGTAAAGTGTCCTCCTGGTCGGGACGAAGGTGGATAGGTGATCCTCTTGTGGCATGACCGGTAGACCCTAATGTTAGGAGCCAGAATAGCTACAAAAGGGCGAGGTCGATCAAGCATTCCCAACCATTTGGCCCTGTACGGATGCGTACTGTATTCATTCCTTTTGCAGAAATCAACAAACGCTCTGAGATCATCTGTCGATGTCGGATCCTTCTCGCGGGAAGCAGTGCGAAAGATACCACCGTGTGGAAAGCGTTCAATCAAAAAGTGGTAAAGCAGGTAATTTGCGTCTTTGATCTTTGGTGGTCGGTTCTGTTTCGGTACCTCAGTCCTGCTGCTCGAAGAGACGAGCCCAACCCCGTTTTTTTTCTTTGGGACCGCTTTAATGCGATCAGCAGACGGCTCGTAGCCTAGCTCGGACCGCACAGCTTCCCAAAGCTCCTGTAACAATTGGCCTTCTTTTGACTTGAATTTCCATCTTGGGACTGTGGCAGAGGGAGGTGATTTCTCCCAAGGCTCGTATGGCCGGATTGGTCTACCACTTGCATCGACGATATCGATGCCGTGCTCTGTGAAAGAAAGGGAGCGGCATTCAAGGCCATTTTGCGGAATGGCGTATTCGAGACCATCTATTGTCACTGTCTTTTTCAGTCCGTTTTGCGTGAGCCACTTGATTTTGATAACCCCGTTGGATTTTATTTCAACGGGAAAACCCTGGATGTCTCCGGTCTTCACACGAGGCGAGAGTTCGGCCCGATATGCTTGAATTACTTCCCGAGACACCCAAAGACCACTTCGTACTTCTGTGCTACTCGTAATAGCATCGAATCTCTTTTTATGGAGGCCAATGGAATTGCAGACTCGTGCTAGATCTTCCATATACGTGTGATCTGGAGCTTGACTGAGCAGCTTGAGAAAATATGACTGTCCTTGTTGGAGACCCATAAGCTCGCCAATCCATTTTGAATATAGTTCCGGTGTATGTGCAATAAGCAAATGAAGCTCTGGAACATTTTGAGCCCATAAACCCTTCAGATGCGCTTCTCTCTCCGGAGAGTGAGGAAGTCCACGGGCACGTCCAAGGGACAAGATACGATCAAACGTGGCCTGGCCATATATGGGACATGTAAACTCCTTCCTGATAGCCTCAGCTTTTCGTTTACGCAACGACTGTCCCAGCCTCGTGGTTAGCGTATTTTGCCCTTCTTCCTCGTCGACTATAAGATTCAGGCGATGTAGGATAGTCTCTCGAAGCTTCCCATGACTCACTCCGCTCTCAGTCCGAGAAGGCGGTCCCCTTGTGACTTGGGATGTTTTCGCAAGACAAATTTGCAACGCATCGTCAGTTGATGCAAGGATAACACAGCATTTCTGCAACCTTTTCTTCGCATGATGCAGGATGCTAAGGCATACGTCTCGTCGAGCTGATTTCCCAGACGTTAAGTGTTGTTGTGCTAGTACTTCCATGGCGCAGTCGGCAATGGCATATACCAATTGAAGCTGAAGGTAGAAGAGGCCAATGCGAGACGCATTGCGTCTGCCGTATTGATATTTTCCTGGATGGCTTAGCGGAATATGTATTACGGCCTCTGGATTGTCCCCATAAGAACGTATGGATACTTCTAGCTGTGTCTCGAGAACGCCATTCGATGTCGACTTTTTGACGGGAAGGTTCGTGAATCCCGAAGCCACGGTATCGCTTGACCTTCTGCCAAATGAAGCAATTATGATTGGCCGAACACATCGTAGATATTTATTCAGAAAATGAAGTGCCTGGGGTATATCGCTGTACCCAGGCAGAGGCAAGGCATTCATGAATGTGAATGAGCTATCCAGATTACCCAAAGGTCCCCGGTTAGCCCATTCGTGTTCGATATGCCTGATTCGGCTGAGGAGTCCCCTAACCAGAACACTGGCGCTCGCTGAGCCATGAAGAAAGGTGTGCCCGGCTCTTAGGTGTTTGTGTGAGAGTTCTTCTCCCAAAAACAGCAGGATCGTATTTCCAAGAAACTGGTAAGGTCGAGCTTCTTCTCGCATCGCCTGGAAATATGTCTCTTGAAAAAGGTATAACTCAGCATGGGTACGCGCATGCTTTTCAATTTCCAGAAAGTCCTCTGCAAGGCCACACCATTCGGGTTCTGGGAGAAGTTTGCAGTCTCTGGAGAACCTCTCAAAAGCTGTCGGCTTCATGCTGGTATACAGCTTTTCATCGTCGGTATCCGGTAGATAGTTGATGTATTGGCCACCATCCTGGAGATTGAGAAGAGCTTTGTTATTGAAAAGTTGTATCAGAAGTCGTTCGATATCGTCAGCAGTAAGCTGGTTGCCTACAGCATCTGGGCCTCCGATGACAGGAACTGCCATCTGTGGTAATTCGTGTATGCCAAGTCGATCATGGACACCCGGGAAAATTCTTTTGACGTTATCGCGAAAGGCCCCGAATAAGCTGCTAGGAGGTTTCTCGTCGATATCAAGCTGCGATCTTTGTACGAAGTCACGGCGACCTTTAATCATTCCCACGTAGCGGACTGTCAATCTTCCCCGTCGCGACAAACAACATTGAAACTCCCACTCATCTAACTCAGGAAAACAGAATCCCTTTCCACGGAGAGTACGCACAAGGCGTAGAAGCTGCCATGGTTCGAATACCCAAGATCGGATGTAGAACCTATGTGCGTTTTCATTGTGCGGTATCGCGGAAAGATTGTTGCTTTGTATGGCATCGCGCATTTGCAGAACGCGCCCTAGATCCTCATTTGGCAATTGCATGGGCTGTCTGAAAAGCCTAAGAAGCAGTCCCTTGTTATCCGCAGTATCCTGCATTTCGAGTAATTTTGACAAGAACATCTCGAACACCATTCTCGATATGTCGATATGTCGAGCTCGTAAGGTGTGATACAAGGCTTCCATGGTGCTTTCGATATCAGTTTGTGCGTTGCAGGGGAATTCGAACGAGGACTTCGCAATAGCTTTCTGGTGGTCGATTTCGCGGAGATGTCGGTGGTACGATGGTAGTAGAGGCGCTGAAGCTGCTCTCCTTCTGGTGGGGATGGCCATATCGACTAGGGCCTGGATGAGAGATCAGCGGTCCCCGTATCCTGCCTCGCGCAGTCGATGGGGAGCTTCAAGATGGCGTGTCAAGGCAAATTTGTGCGCACTTTTCAACCGGTAGAAGGGAAGTGTGCGTGTATGAAGCTGAGAGAGGTGGTTGAACTTAGATGATTGTTTACTTGTGTGTGTACGTATGTGAACGAGTAAGAGAGGGAGAGTAAGAGAGTGGGGGAAAGAGAGAGAGGGAAAGAGAGAGAGGGAAAGAGAAAGAGGGAAAGAGAAAGAGAGTGTGTATGTGCATGTGGTGTTTTTGGGCGCAGGTGGATATAAACAAGTGATGCACCAGCCAGCCAGGCCATGGATACCATACCTTGGTATACTCACATATTTACAACTTATACCTCAGTAATATCCCAAAAACAACTACTACAAAGCTAAGGCTAGACAATCAAGGTGCTGTAAAAGTTAATTGCTTCTCTTTTATCTTCAGAGGGCCAGTGATGCAATTTTAATAAGGCTTTCTAGGAAGGAGATGCACTAGAAAAAATGGGCTGAGGTACATTAACTATCATCATTGTAATGAAATTGAGAAAGTGCCACTCACAGCCAAGGAGAGCAGCAAGGAATCATATCATTCTCCAGCTTTAACAACAAAGCAGCGTTGAACATAGATCTGTATAGGGTCATTGAGTTCCACTTATGCAAATAGGTCGTGGAAACTAAGATTTAGCCATATACCTCTGGAAAAAAAAAAAATAGAAAGAAACAAAGAAATATCTCCCCGACTGGGAGTCGAACCCAGGTCTCCCGCGCTTGTTATCCTGCGGATTGACAAGCGGAAATCATGAACCGTTAGACCATCGAGGATTGGATGGTAAAATTTCTGCTTTTTTTAGTTAATGGACCAATGCTAATATCTTTCGCTCTCGCTGAGAGTGTCACTGCGCGATTGCGAAGAATTCCGGCACTCTGACGCCCAGGACCACAGTGATGTCATCAAATATCATGATACAGTCATATCACAAGTTTGAAAGGTAGCTCTTTACAGACGGCCATGTTGCTTATCCGCATCGACAGATAGAGATTTCAGTGCAAGCGACCGCCGTCGTACTGTATGATGAAACCATTCTGGCGTCGATAGCGAAATACATTGACGCTGGCGGCGAGGACGCCAATCATGCGGTACAAAACAGAGCTTTCCGGAAGAATATTGACTTCTATAGCTACCTGAGCCTGGAAATTCTACTTGGATCACCTCATCGGCGAGATGAAGTCTCTGAGAAGGGGATCATCTGACTGGGTCTATAGGCTTCGTTAGTGCGTTTGCCCTCCAGGCCCTCTAGAATGCGTCCGAAAGGACGACGGTGGTATGCATTGTGCGGGCGACGAACGACGAGGTTGCTCGACAGCGCGTGGTGATGACACGGCGTGAATATGACCTTGTGCAAAGTCGAGCGCTATACCCCAGACTGGTTGTACTTGCCGGGGGCTCGAAAGACTCGACGCTGGGCGTTGGTCCGGAGCTTGGTATTCCAGCGGCTTGGATACTGGGACTCTGGTATTTTTTGCCTGGCTAGCCCACTTGTCTAGGTAGTCAATGGCTACACGCAAAGGAAGTGGGTGGCCGGAAAGACGATAGCCGATACTATAAACAAGCACAACCTTCTCATCGTGACATGTCTTGCGGGAGCTGTGATATGCAACAGCAAGACTGGATCCGGGAATGCCACCCACTTTGCGAGTAAAGTGATAACCTCCGTACAGACGGGCTGCTTCTGGACAATGTTGTGTTATAGCAAGAACCTCATCCTGGTGGACCACTCTGCGAACGCAATGATACACCTCTCCCGTTGGGCAATTCAACAACATGGTACTAGAGATAGGAGTTGCACGATCACGAAATGAGCAAGTATTTAGGGGCCTGTAGGCAGTGCTGCATGTACCCCTCGAGCAATTTTCGTATGACCAGTGGCTGGAACGGTTGAAGCAGCAGGGCGATGATGACCTTCTGACGCCTCTTATTCCCATGCTTCAGGAAAGGTCTCAGATGACCACAGTGGTAAATATGACACGGTAACCCGAAGAGAGGTCTATCTGATGCGCCTGAACTCCCGAATGCCCTTAGGTGGACGAAGCATTGCTCAGGAACTTCTTGACTACTTTGGACTTGGTGCAATCTTGATCTTTGTGAGAGTAAACATACGGACCAAAACAGTGAGGATACACTATTATATGGTACATCAGGATCTCAGGTGAAGCAGCATCCTGCGGCTATGAGCTTGTTGTTTCTCATTTTCATTGAACTCTGTTTCTTTGAGCCACAACCTGAACCGGAACGTGCCGTGTTGGAATGTATACGTAAAGGTAGGTACTCACCTTCCATAACAGCGATAGTATCAACAGGTAGCCTCCAAAATGCCTCAACATCACCGTCGGCTGGTAGGCAACAACTTCTCCTTTTCCTACTTCAAAGGACGTGCATACAAATCAACGATGCAAGTACCATAGAGCCCTGTATGCAAGCTTTCTTCCGCATTATTTAAGCAATCCAGCACTTAGTTGTGGAACAAAATTTCATGTTCGTGGCAGGTTTACCAGGTAAGCTGAACAAAAAAGATAAAAAGAAATTCTCCCCGACTGGGAGTCGAACCCAGGTCTCCCGCGCTTGTTCCTAATGGTGACAAGCGGAAATCATGAACCGTTAGACCATCGAGGATTGGACACTTATAACTTTAGATTTAATAATATATTCATTAGCAGTAATTGGGACAGCGGATAGTACCAATAATACGATCGAACAAGGGCCCTTAAGATCCCGAATTTTTTGAATTCTTTTATTTCTATCCCCGCTTTAGTGAGGACATGTAGAGGCAAAAAAAAAAATAAAGTCTTAGTAAAGAGTGAAAAAAGTAACCTCCCCGACTGGGAGTCGAACCCAGGTCTCCCGCGCTTGCTATCCTGCGGATTGACAAGCGGAAATCATGAACCGTTAGACCATCGAGGAATTGATGCCGGCAGTTTTTCGTATTTGCCTAGAGGAGCCTAGGGAAACGTTCTGCACATATGTCCCACCCATATGCCTCTAGAATCACGAGGGCACTCTCATGTGGGTTGAATACTTGATATGGCAGTACCTTTACACCAATAAGGGCAATATTAAGATCTCTATTGCTGTTTGTTGTGGTGCGGTGTATCTTTCAAATGGATGTCCCCTTCCATATCCATCGTTATATGTGCTGGGACTATGCAGCCACAAGACATCTGCAAATTTTCTACATACCCCCTGACATATTTTCGACCATAAACTTCATTTCCATTCGAACGACCACATACAGGCAATATCCTCATGAAAACGAATGCTTTTGTGCCAAATTCTGCAGCACCAGACCTCTTTCACTATCAGTCTCACCAGTGGCCGCGTATTGGTGATCGGAGGATTCGAGACGTAGCTCCTGAGTGATAGTGATAGCGTCCATACGGTGTGCCCTGTCCTTACTCCTAGAAGCACTAACAGACGAATGCGGCCCGCTGTCATGCTCATTGAAACCGAAATTCGGGTAGCCATTGTATTTGTTCGCATTGCCGCGCGAATGGGACACCGAACCGAGGAGACCGGGAAATACCCTGGTCACAAGCGGTTGGAGTGGAGGAAGACAGGAGCATATGATCCCCATATTAAGTTCGATCTGGGACCACACAGCGATTGGACCGTTGTCCTCTGCATTGAGACGGCGGATTAGCACGTTCATCCAAGGCCAAGTTGCTGTACTCACTAGTATAATCCGTGGTATGTGTAGCCCTGGTCAAGTAGTTTAGTCGGACCATGCTCGTAACGCAGGCACTATATATAATTAGCCAAGGCCATTCTGCACAACATGGGAGCTCTCCAGAGAAGGCTGCGAGAGACTAACAATCCTCCAGTTGCAAAGATGAATATCACTCCGATCTTTTGCCGACGTGGTAGCCGGAGATGTGACAGCACAGGAATAGGTAGCACCAAGACACAGAGATCTGTTAGGATATTCATCGCAGCATTGAAGAACCACAAGAACCCTTTTGGAATACAGCGTCCTTGAACCGACATGTCCCAGAAAGAGTTCACAGGTAGACAGTTTAAAAACGCGCTGATGACTGTCCACAGCCCGTATAGAACGATGATCCCGAGAATAATCCTTGCAGCGAGGACAAAATTTGCTGTTGGGAACAGCCGTAGGTATAGGAAGACGATGGAAGCCTTCGTCAGCGTTAGAGACATGTTGTAGAATGGAATCGAAAGCCACAACGCCTATTTGAAAATCGATTAGCAAGAAATACTCGCGACCATGCTTTCCATAAATCCCAAAACAACATATTTCACTTGGCTGGAGTAGAGGTTTCGGGCGTCTAGCTTACTTTCAACTGTGACTTTTGCTGTTCATTGGAAAGAGTCGCCATATGCTGTCCCACCCCATAATGGACTTCTATAGCATCATACAGGTCAGTCCAGGTAAAACTAATATAGATAGCACTTATACAAGCGAACCCTGAACTAAAAAGGCGAATGAACACCAGCCGAAACACTAGTCCAATTAGCAACGACCGTGCAAGTGTCAGAAGAGCACATACCAACGCTGCCGCTATGGTGTAATCGTCCGCTCCAGAATTTTTGATCAACTGAAACCGTGTGAACAGCCTCAGAGCGACAAAAAGGGTCGAGAGAGCACTGAAACCCGAGGCGGTTGCAATGATGCCCATGACTGAATGGTAGCGCTTCAGACCCGCCGCGACTGTCGTCCTAAAAGACTCGACCCACCTAAGGCGATGATCCTGTGTAAGTGCCCCCAACGATCATCGCGATGAAACCTCTTGGAGGACAATATGAGCTCGTGGGGCATGCGGGCTAATAACGCTCTGTTTTCTGGTCAGGGTGAATTCATTTGAATATGCCTGTCCCTCTTGCATCGCGCGAACGCGGAACTCGCTACGAAAGGACCGAAATTTTATGAAAACTGACTGGGTTCAAGGATCTTCCGCTATGGAACGACAAAAAAAGGGCTTATTTTTCTATGAAACTATCTCCTGTGAACACGGAGGTTCCTCCGGGAAATTTCGAGACCAGCTGAGAATTAGGCTGTTTTGATATAGCCAGTCCAATCGGAGACGCCTTAAGAGCATACCCTGGCCTAGTGTAGGAGCAGTGTCACTTACGACAATTGATGGCATATACGTTATATTATTTAATTAATTTAAAAAGGCAGATTGGTGGACTACGTCGGTTATTGTCCCCGAATGTAATTTGCCGTCTACCATCGAAGTTCTTGGGAAGATAGGCGATCACGAATACTAAATATCGGGCCATATCTCCCAAACCCAGTGCATGTTATTAGAGCCTAATGGGCCCCTTGAACAGTGTCCGAGCGTCCAGCGGGGAATCTAATTCTAGAACACAATCTCGCTACCATGGTGCCAGGACTAGAGTCGCTAGATACATGATCTAGTGCATTAATGAGACAACCACCGCTAACTACCCTAGCTATGCACGACATTGATTACCTCCCCTGGTTCATATGAGACCACACTTAATTATTTCCAAAGGAGAAGCTGGCCCCTGAGAGCTCAGATCCGTACATCCGTTGGTTTTCTTTATCCCTGATAAATCCCCATACAGAGCAACTGATTTCTACTCTGTAGGTCTGAACATCAGATGCTTTCCCGCTGGTCTTACATACAGCCAGAAAGCTCCAATCCCTCCAGCAATATCTACCATGCGTCTTCTATGGAACGGAGGCGTCGTCGGCCTGGGTCTGCCGTTCGGTCTCGTGTCTTCTGCCATGGCTGCCTCACAATTCCATGGCCAGGTCCTTACCCATGATTCTCAGTTGCTGACTACCTACGACTATGTAGTTGTAGGAGGTGGCATCTCTGGTCTCACTGTAGCCAACCGTCTTTCGGAGAATCCGAGTGAGTAGACCCGCCTGTTCATCAGTGCTGTTTAGATGAAACGAATCCACCACCTCTCCTTTGTGCCTGCCTACACGCCTTCCATTGAAGTGCATGTTACTGATTACTTGGATTGATTGCCACGTGGTTGTCCAGAGCTCAATATTCTTGTTATCGAAGCTGGTGAATTGTATGGTCAATTCCTTTAACCCAAGCACCTTTCCCCATCTATCATCATCAACAATCCAAACAGCTCGTTAGAGAGGAACATCTCATACATACTAGCTTCAGGAGGCAACTATCAGAATTATACACTAACATCAACAATGCAGTGAACAAGGCGAAGACTACATTGTCATCCCCGGACTGGCGGGGGGCGCCATCGGCACCCAGTATGACTGGAACTTGACCTACGTGCAGAACCCCGACGCAGGAAACCGCACATTAGCCATCCCCCAGGGTAAGGCCGTCGGTGGTTCGAGTCTGCTGAACCGCATGGTCTTCGACCGCGGATCTCAGGCGGACTATAACCGATGGGAAACACTAGGCAACGCCGGGTGGGGATGGACTGATTTGTTGCCTTACTTCAAGAAGGTGATCAGCTATTCCAATGCCATTCTGAGCAAGCATTAAAGTCTTGTCATAGAGTGAAAGCTTCACGCCGCCAATCGACGGCATTGTGGCCGAGTGGAATGTCAGCTATGATCTATCGGCCCATGGAACAACCGGATATGTGCAGTCCAGCTACGCACCCTGGATCTGGCCTTCTACGAGTATGTCCGACTATGAGCAAGAATGTCAAGCAGCGTGTTAACGGACCACTTCAGAGCACTTTATTCGTGCTATCACCTCCCTCGGAGTTCGTATCCCCGAAGATGCCGCCACCGGCGATGCTGTTGGAGGATACTATAGTCCCCATAGCCAAGACCCAGCCTCGATAACTCGAAGCGATGCCGCCACGGCCTACTGGAATACCGTGTCCGGCAGACCAGGGCTCCATCTGATTACGGGACGAACTGTCACCCGACTTATAACCAAAAAGAGGGGTCTAGAAGTGACTGTGAAGGGTGTCGAAGTACGTAACCTGAATATGCCCCCCGACTGCTCAGTCATTCCATGGACGAATACTGATCAGGCCATACCAGCTCGCGGCGTCAGCCTCACTGCCGCGTAAGATCGTCAATGTTTCAAAGGAAGCCATCCTCGCAGCCGGAGCAATTCATACTCCCCAAATCCTTCAGCTGTCGGGGATCGGTGACCCTGCCCTGCTGTCCAAACTGAACATCTCCACCGTAGCCAATGTCCCCGGCGTTGGTCGCAACCTCCAGGACCATCTTTACATCCCCGTAGTCGCTTCATGTGAGCAGCATCGCACCTCTTATGACACAACACACGGGATCCTATGCTAACCATCCAGGGGACTTCCCTCTAACCTCCGCAAACCTCACCAGCAACGTAACCTTCGCGGCGGAGTCCATGTCCCTGTACAAATCCAAGAAAACCGGTCCCTACGCCGACGCAACCGGCGACTTCCTCGTCTTCCTCCCAGCCAAGAACTTCACCTCGAAGGTGGTATCCCTCCACACAACAGCCCTGCGCCAACAACCCAAGTTCCACCTGGATCCCGACACGCCGGCGACCGTGCGTCTCGGCTACGCGCTCCAGCACAAGCTCCTCACCCACGGCCTGACAGCCGACGACGAGGCGCAGATCGAGATCATCTGGGCGGACGGGACGTTCGTGATCGGGCTGGAGCACCCGTTCTCGCGCGGTAGCGTCCGACTCGCGTCGACGGACCCTTTCGACGCGCCGCTCGCCGACCCGGCCTACTTCCGGAACCCGATGGACGTCCAGATCCTCGTCGAGGCGATCAGGTATGCGCGCACGCTGATGCGCACGGAGGCACTGGCGGCGTTTCAGCCGGTGGAGCTGGTGCCCGGCGCGGGTGTCGTGTCTGATGCGGATCTCGAGGCGTATATTCGCGACACGGCAGATACGTTGTTCCATCCGTCTGGGACATGCTCCGTTGGGAGGTATGCGCTGGGTGGGGTGGTTGATGCGAAGTTCAGGGTGTATGGGGTGGAGAACCTGCGGGTGGTCGATGCGAGTGTCTTTCCTATGCTGCCTTCGACTCATATTCAAAGCTCGGTCTATGCGGTGGCGGAAAAGGTGAGTGCTGAGGATAGGGGCTCTTCACTGGCATGATGCAAGTACACTGACGGTAGACAGGCTGCGGATGCGATCAAGGATTCGTGCGAGTAAGCGGGTTGTGTGATGGGATTCTCCAGATGCACACCATAGTTACCTGCTATCAAACAAGCTATTGCTTTGCTCTTGGATAACATAGTATCCTCTTTCATCGCGATGTTTGATAGCCCGGGGATCATGTGACAGGATACAATAGACCGCCAGATACATAGTACAGTTGGAGGGATCCTCAGGTATGAGAAAATGGACCTGTAGAAGAAGACAATCCTCCTTAAACATAATCAAACGGTTGAAAGCGATCCTTCACAATTGCTGAAGCTGTCGTGGACCGGAAAATGGATGTATCCAACGCAGCTGTCACCCAGCCAATCGGGCCGCGTGTTTGCTCCCGCCGCTTGATTTTCTCTGCAGCTTTTCTTCCGCCCCTTCAACTACATCACCTCTTTTACTCCCTCTCTTCTGTTTCTCCCCCTCGCCACCACTGGGAACCCATTACGACCAGGGTCTCCTGGTGTTTCTCTTCGCAATTACTCTCCTACCCTCATATCCCCCCCTCCAATTGCCCGAAATCCTTCTCTGACTGTTTACCTACCTCTCCGCCACGTCCGCGATCTCCGTACAAGACCTCACAATGGTCTTCCTTCGCCTGACGGTGAAGGTTTACCCTCGAAATCCGAATGCCCCGAGAACCGGATCGCCAGCTAGCTTTCTCCTCCCCGTCGAGAACCCAGAGGATACTAGCTTGGGCGGTCTGGCGAGCTTGATCCAAGAGAAATGGAAGAAACTCCGACCCCACGAGGGCGCGCTGGAAATCAAGCAAATCGTCGATGATGCCCACGAATCTGCCGATCTTGATCCGGATATGACCGTCGCCGATGTCTGGGTTGACCTTGGCAAAGCGCGCAGCGATAACTGCGACCAGCGCGGCACTGTTCGCGTGATCCAGAAACCTACCGATGAACCCTACGCTCCAGTTCGCTTCCCCTCCGTCACGCACGACTGGGACGCCGCCGCCCAGGAATTTCAGCGCCAACGACGCGTGAAGAATGAGCCCGCCTCGCCACCCATGGGCACCATCCCCGAAGAGGGGTCACAGCCAGAGGCTGAAGACTCGGGGAGTGAGGAGAGCGGCAGCGAGGAAGAATCGGGTGGCGAGGAGGAGACTGGTAGCGAGGAAGAAGCCGAGGAGGCTGAAGAGACCGAGAGCGAGAGCGATTCCGTTGAAGAGGTAGCAGGACCGGGCACGCGAAAGGAAGCAACGCTCGATGCCGAGCCGGAAATCAAAGAAGAGACCGATGACGAGGAAGGATCTGAGGAGGGCGGTGCCGATGTTGAACCGGTCGCGCAGGCCAAAACCGACCAGGAACAGGGAGAGGAGACAGACGATGGGGACGAAGAGAGCGACAACGAGGAGGACAAGGACGAGGACGAGGACGAGGACAAGGAAGAGAGTGAGGAAGAGGAAGAGCCAAATGAAGTGATAGACAACGCCGCCAAGGACGCTGAACCGGATGAGGAAGAGACCGGCGACGAAGAGACTGGCGACGAAGACGACAGTGCCGGAGAAGAAAGCGAGGAATCCGAGAGGGGTGAGGAGCCAAACGATGAAATGGAGGTCGACGAAGAGGAGGAAGTTTACGAGGCACCACGATCCTCCCGGCTCAAACGTGCGAGGGATGCCGACGAGTTCCAAGAGCCCAGCAAACAGCCACGACTTGACCAGGCCGGAAGCCGCGCCCAAGAGAACGGGGAACCCAGCCCAGAGAAACGCCTGCAGAGCACTTCGGGACTGGGATTGGGCATTACCAAGAGCCCGCCCTCCAAGAAGCCGGCGATGATCACCCCCAGCACGCCTGCTATCCGTCGTGGCCCCTTGTTCCAAACGAACGGGACGCCATCCGCTACCTTGACCCCTAATACCGCGTCGCGACTGCCATCGGCGCTGCGCAAGGAGTCGCCGACGCAAAGATCAGCTGTTCGTCGGTCGGTCTCATTCGCCGATGAAGACGACGTGGTCGACGAGTGGGCCAACAAGCCCAAATATACTCCGCAGAGCACGCCCAAGCAAGCGAACCAAGACTCGATTTCGTCGAAATCAGCAAGATCACAGCAGCCTCCACCCGCCGGGGCAGCCGCAGACACTGGCGGAGATGAAGCAGCCCAGAATCAGGAAGCGATGAGGAAACTCGAAGAAGACATCGAAGCCGCTACAAAGAAAGGACAGACGGGGCTTGCTCAGCACATGAAGAAAATACTGAAGCATCGGATCGTCCTAAGCCACAACGTGGGAACGAAAGTCAAAAGGAATATGGAAAGGGCACAGAGAGCTCGCGATAACGTGGCAGACCTGGAAAAGCAGTTGGTCGAGATACAAGCGCGCAGCACCTCATCCACTTCCACGCCTGCTTCGAAAAAGGTTGAGGTAGTGGTCCCTGCCACTGCTGCAACGAACGGTGACAAGTCGAAGTCTGTCGAGAGAGATGCGACCCCTGGTCCGACATGTGCGTTTCAGATGAAAGCGGCATCCGAAGGTGAGTTGGCATACCTACCCGGGCAAATTTCCTGACAGGAACAAGAACTGACCCTTTGCCAGACGATGAAGATTCCGACGAATCAGCCGATGATGAGCCTCTGGAGACTCAGGAGGTGAATCTATTCTCCGATACGGAAGAGGAGCCTGCTCGCACAAACACAAGCGCCAGCAATGCGAAGGAGGGAAGAAAAGGTTCAGCACAGAAACAGACGTTCTTTGCCACCCATGCGCCTGTCACGGGCACCAAAAACAAGCGGTCGTCCCTGAGGTCCTTATTGGATGACCAGAAGAAGGCGCAGCAGGAAAGAGTCCAGTCAATGGAGCCCCTTGCTCTCCCCAAGAAACAGGCAGAGCCGGAAGACTCGTCAGAAAGCGAATTCGAGGATAGTGACAGTGACCAAAGCCAGTCTGACGAAGGCGATATCAAACCGAACGGAGTTATTGGCACGATACGACGAGCTTTGGGAGGATACTAAACTTTGATGGATGACTTTAGATTGATGTTTACACAGTTGAGCGGGAGGGTTTGATTCCATCATAAGAGCGATTGATCTTGAAGTGACATTGAACATACAGGGTTTGGACACAATAGTCGTGCAGCCTTGTACCTAGCATGAACCCTTGAGAATACCATCCATTGGACATTGGACGCCCAACGAGAACCCTACCTACCCAGCAACAACTAGAATAATGTCGTATACGCCCTCAAAGCCATCTCATACCTCGAAAACCCGTCGGTCTTGATCCGGCGGGACCGTCATTCGACCTGACTGATTCTCGACCGACCCCAAGCATACCCCGTAAGTATTGATCTCGTGGAGTTGCATGCAGTAAGAACCGTCCAAGCCGCGATCCCGAATATGTATCCTCACAACAGACCTACGTTGAAGGCTCGCGCCAAATGAGTTGCTCCAGGAGCTCTCCGTTCCTACTCCGGTTTATGTGCGCATCAACATCGATGGTGGTCCTAGTCTGAGTATAGAACAAGAGAAGAAGCCGTGGACAATCCTAATTAGTGGAAAATGATAGAACATCGTCTCAAAGGAAGTGGTACCTTCTTTTCATGCGTGAGAGCTTCTCCACGCAGGTCACGCCGTTCGAGCTCAAATAACTCCGAAGGCGATTCTGGCGCGACGATCAACGCGGCGCCGGCGTGCAGAAGCGTGGTATAGGTCGAGGTGAGAATCATAGACAGTCGAGCCCTGGTGTTCAGAACTTACCTCGTCGGGAACCAAGGCTAGCAAGACCGCGAAGTCCTCAGTCGATAGCGTCATTGTGATTGATGGTGGCTTTGCGCTAGTGATATGGACTATGGAAACAAAGGGAAGAAGACAAAAGAATGCGGACTTCGGTGAGTTTGGGTTCTTATGATGCTGTTAGTAGTTGATTAGAAAATGAATCGAATAGGAAGAACGGTATTGTTGCTTGCATTCTGATCAATGCTTTATTGCTTGCAAGATGTGCCTTCCTTCTCTTGCAGGACGACTGCAGTTTCCTCAGTGCTCATTGCTCCTTCCTCGCCCCAGAGCACTTCAGCGAATGCCCTCCACCCATGAGCTCAGTCAGCAGAATAGAAGTATCCTTTTTAGGGCATTAACAGCTGACAAGACTTCTTCCTCGACTATATGTGTATGCCTCGGGAATAAGGCACCGAGATTCCCAGACAGACACATGTCGGGGTGTACTTGACCACACTATGATTGTTATATCAGCACCTTTCTGATTAGAAGGGAGGAAAAGGAAGTAGGCCATTTATTATAACATCTCTATCTAAATCATGATTTAGGTCCCAATTCATCATCCGCATTGCCCCCCACTGGTAGCCATCAGTGCACTGCCGGTATAAAACTGTAACACCAGCTCTCTTCTTGCTCTGCGAATACGTGCCTGAAGTATACCTGTCAAAAACATGGCGCTTGAGCTGTATACCGCCGAACTGGGCTTTATCTAAGATAGGTCACAGACCTGGTGCGCGCTTTACCCTATGCCTAAGGTCTGGAATATAAGAAATCTATAAGCGCTTCAGCTGGTTTCCAAAGAAGGAAACTATTTTCAAATACCGCAAAGGAGTAACTGCTAATTTAAGTACGGGGTGCTTTGGTTCAGCTTTATCTAAATAATATGCGCTAACTGCGTCCCTGTAAAGCATATAGATAACTATTCACGAAACTTCATCGTAGGCTATACAAAAGACGGTGCTTTCGCGTACTATGTCTCAGTTAGAGATAACACTTAGTCTCCTATTATATATTTGCATTTCTCGCTTATAGTCCTTCATGACTTTGAGGTTATTCTATTTAGGTGCCGCCCTGGATTTTGTAATCATTGAGTCGTTGGGGACATCGCAATGTGTACTTATAGGCGGAGATCCAAGCATCGATCCTACGGGAATATGGGCTGATCTCCCCCAATCGCATTCTTGGGAATGGACCATACCGTTAGCCACAGAACTTATACTATGTTCCTGCGGCGTGGTAGCGTTACGAGTTGTTCCTATGGAAATTCTAATGTAAAGAACCTTTAATGCCACCAAATCCAGACGAGAACAGGTTGGAAAATGAAGAATAGGAGATTGGAAAACCGTGACCTTGAAAACCGTGGCATGGAGATCCTATTTGCTGGATTTGTCAAGATGAGTTTTCAGCTGAAGCGGTTCCACGTACGACGAGTGTCAAGACTTCAAAGATTAACACTTGGCAGAATGCGAGCCCTACGCACGGTTAGAGCTATGGGAAGGCAAAGGAGGGCTACTGCTAAGCCATGGATGGCGGCTTTCCCAAGTCGTCCGAGACTTCTCTAACCCCGGAAACAATATAATACTCTATGTTATAATCAACATTGCTTTCTATAATCTTCGCATGTTGATGGCCTCCTCTAGATCATCAAGGCTTCCTGTCCGCTCATATCGGTTCGAGAGCGCGTTTGCCAGATTGTTCAGCAAAGCAAGTAGTTCTGGATGGTCTTGAGGTGTGACGGCAACCGCTCTCTGGGCATTGCTGATGGCGTCTACTTGATCCTCAGCCCTTCCAGTCCATGTATATTGGTCTGAGAGCATGGTGCTTGGGTTCTCTGACTAGAAAAGCCTAGACCGAATGATCCTGAAGGGCACGTCGACCGCTCTCCGCGCATTGACGATGGCACTCTCGAGGTCGCCTGAGTCGGGTCTCCCATCAAGTGCACTCGTGTCCACTTCTGCCGGAGGCAATAAGACTGTTAGCGTGTGTATGGTTTGGATATAAAATAATCGAGGATGAAAACGACTTGTGGCGGGTCGGTGGTGAAGTAAAAGCGAAAACGAACGGACGGAATGAGTCTGGTGATTCTAAAGTCGACCGCTTTTCCTTCACCGCCCACACCACCTACATACAGGCGTCGCGAAGTCACCGTCACTGCCCATACATCCTCCGGCCGCGCAGAGGGGTAGCTGCGCGCACTTTACCCGCCGCTAGCCCCCTGCGGCAAGGTCCCGTATTGAGTATCCTTCAAACCGCCCTCGTCTCGCTCCCATCACTTCCCATACCGTGTCCTGACCGGATCCTGCCTCGTACTACCCATCGCTGGCCCCATACTGCCCGTCACTTCCCATCGGGAGAACTGACGGGTGTTTACCTTCTACCATCACTTCCTGGTTTTCGTATTTACCATCCTGTCACGGGATACAACAGGGACCAGTCTGGTCGCTGGATAGTCCTACCTAACTATTACTGCCATCAGCACACTCTACACGCTGCCTATAACAAGTAATACACCGGTTCATATATAATTGATTTTCTGGGACGGTCGATGGCCTTCCCTTTCCGTTTTAGTGCTCACCCTTTCGCCGCTTTTTGCTCACTGAGTAGGTCTGAGCACGCCCTGAGCACGTCCTGAGCAGCCTGAGGCTATCACTGAGCACGGGGTGAGCAGGAGACTGAATGCCCTAAGCGAGTAATCTCAATAAACTGCACCCCGACTAATAACCCTCTCTCTTGCCCGCCTCTCTATTTACAGTCCACTCTTGCCCGCTACGCTTACTTAAAGCCCAGCGTTTCTATGAGGGCTCTTTCCCTAATCAGTCCTGAGATCACTACCTGCAAACAGTGCAAAATAGTGTTTGTTTAACGTGTCATTTGCCCCGCGTTGGACAGGCAGGGCCTTTCCATCTACCGTCCAGAGCTCTGTTTTGTCGCCCATGACAGTAATGGACAAGGCATACCTTCCGCAATGGGGCCAGTTACCCGTCGAGCAGTACTTGATCGTGAGTGTTTTGCGCTACTGTTGATTCCCCTGCGTGGCTAATATCTATAAAGAAACACTGGGATCACTCCTCATCTGAGCCTACTGAAGACCAGCGCCTCCGACTGATCCATCAGTTCTTGGATCTAGATGAGATTCCGAAGGAACTGGACCCTAATTGTCATGCCTCGGACACTTACGAAACACTGTCACCTACGGCCTATGAAATTGATACTATCCTTCGCCCCTGGCGCTCTGATAACCTACGGAAGATAGCGTGGAGGATTTGGGGGTGTGATAACAATCAGTTGATTTTATTACGCACCTACTATAATGCCGATGACAACGACAAAATCACGGAATTAGTAGGGTCCGATGAACTCCACGAGGAGAATGTAGCCTGGTGGGCACTTCTTGATAATCCCGAACTCTTTAATTTCGGTGATCAGTGGTGGCGAGTCTTCGATATCTTGCCAGAGTTAGCCGGCCCTTTAAATGATAATAGCCGCCTGCCGAATCCAGAAAATATCTCACGGGACAGACAGTATTTTAAGAATATCATACTACCGACCCTCAAACAAAGCGACGAATGGAGGGCGAATCGTGACAATTATATTGAAAGACAGAGCGATTTCCTTCGGCGAACAGCTTCAAAGGGCTATCTTGCTATTGCAGATCAGGAAGCCTTTAAAACGGACATGCTACGGTTAATCTATCTCGATGGGAAGAGAAATATTGTCCAAGAGACCCGGATGGCATTTAATGAGCAAACATTTGCTGATGTTGCTGTTGAATGGGATCAGTTGTCGCTTCCTATGCAATTATGGGAGGACGGAAAGACTGGTGAGAAGTATCGAGTGAATGGGGAGCTGGGAAGGGAGTTATATCAGCTAGATGAGGCTGATCTGGAATAAGCATGGCCATGTCGAATCTTGTGGAATCGTGGCACATGATATCGTGCGTTTGCTCGTTGGGCTTCATGTATTTAGGTGCTGCCTCTTCAACAGAGGGACTCTTCATCTTCAAGCATCTTCATCATCTTTATCGTCAATTCAATCGTTTATCGTCATTCCAACTGCTTAAACATGTGAGCGTTACTAGCGCCAATATGATAGCAGGTTAGAATCAACGGACAAATTCTCCCGGACCCCGGCTAGGATGCGTATTGACCGGTCATAAAACATCTGGTAAAGTCGCCGCATTATGGCCTCATGCCCGTTGGATGATGCCTCTTCAAACACACTGCCGAGGTGTCCACCCTGAACGTTGATATCGGCACCTCGATCCAGTAGATCTGCACTGCCTTTTCATGCCTCTCGGCTGCTGCAGCTTGAAGTGCACTGTGGAGCCCTTCACTATGAGCATCGATATCCGCGCCTCGGTCTAGTAGAAGATGCACAATCTTCTCATGTCCTTGAGATGCTGCGACATGTAGCGCAGTGCCAATCTCCTCGTTATTGATATTAACGTCGGCGCCCCAGTCTAGTAGAATCTGCATAATCTTCTCATGCTTTAAATGCTGCAGCTTGGAGTGCAGTGACACAATTCCCATTGAGATTGACACCGGCGCCCCGATTTAGCAGAACCTGCACGATATTCTCATGACCTCCAAACACCGCGAGTTGGAGTGCACTACTAGACTCCCAATTGGCATCGATATCTGCCCCCCAATCTAGCACGATCTTTAACGTGTCTTCAAACCCTTTAGATGATGCGCACATCAGTGCGGTAAGGCCGTCTTTTCCCGGGGCATTGACATCGGCGCCACGGTCCAACAGCATCCGGACGATGGCATTTTGTCTTTTGTTCACCGCGTGAGTATGTGGCGGATAGAGGGGATCGCCTTTGATACTGAGATCTGCGGCTTGCATATTGAGATCCGCACCGTGATCAAGTAGCATCTGCACAATAGTTCCATGGCCATTCGATGATGCAAAACAAAGTGCAGTACTGTCATACTCCCCTTTCCGAGCATTTACACTGGCGCCTCGATCTAGCAGTACCTGCACAACCTTCTGATGCCCTCTTTGGGCAGCGGTGTGCAGTGGATTCCAGAGTTCCCCTTCCTGGGCATCGATATCAGCACCGTGGTCGAGCAGTGACCGTACAATATTGGCATTCCCGCTCCACGACGCGGATTGGGAGTGCACTGCCTTTATCCAAGTCCGAGGCATTGGCGTCTGCACCTCGATCTAAGAGCATTTGTATGATCTCTTCGTAGCCTCGATACGACGCAGCTTGAATGGGAGGACTGTCATAATATTGCAACTCTTGGTATTTCTCATTTTAATGATACTAGGAGGAGGTGATTGCTCTAACGATCCTCGCCTCGAGGTCTTCGCCCAAGTAATGTCAGCTACCTTGCTCTCTTTTTTGCTTATTCTCAAAGTGAGGCGATATCTGGCATTCTCATCGCACTTGCATGTACATACTATATCCATGTATGCAATATCCTACCCCACACCGAGTTGGGCGGATAGGTTCGCACCGGCGTGCTGGCGGGCCGTCATATGTATGAGATGCATACTCGTCTGGCACCACGACAAAAGATAGAGACGCCAGGCGGCACGTTCTGATTGGGGTTTAAAGGAATGTAAGCTACGTTGTGCCAATAGGATCCGTTGTCTGCCCCTAGTGCGGGCTGCTGCATCCGCGACTCGAGAATCATAGAACGAGGCTCGCAGGAAGAACAGGGCCACGTTGCAAGCCTCATGCAAGGCCTGTGAGGTGTTAAGTCTGACTGGAGTCCCAGGAAATCGTTGACTTCGGTACCAAAGAATATCCCAGGCGAAGATGACTCGGGTTGCAGCTTGGGACGCTCTCGTTTTCTACCTATTTCTGTTCTGTAACTTAGAAAGATAGCACTTTAAATTAAAGGAAGATTCTAAAGATAGACAGTCGATTTAGAAAGACATTATAGTTCTATGCTAGGTAAAATGCTTAAAGGAGAGCTATGCTTTTATATCTTCTTCCGGACTACCCTTAAAACTTATCGCTATTGCCTTTAAATTTTATTTTGCTTAACTCTACCGCTAAAGGATAAATTAGATTCTATTGTTATTTACTTTCGTTATATCGACCGGGTATTTAAGAGGCGTAGGCAATTTTTTAGAAATATTGTTAAATATAGTTGTTAAATTATCTAGATAAAATAGATGGGGTAAGCGGCTCTGTGAGTATATATAATCGCTCATGAGTAAAAGGCTCATGTTTTAGTAAGTAGTGAGCTGTGATGCAGACCTCTGAGCGCCCTTACTAAAGCGGCAGTGTCCTAAAGAGGAAGTTTACGATTATCCTAGAAAATCTATTACGTATAGGTACATATATATCACAACAGGCCATCCCAAACGGACGGTGTTAAGTGCTACATTACGTGTTCCAGGTTGGCTGCACGGGATTCTAATGAATTCAACGTCACCCAGACGCTGAAAATCTTATGATCTAAAACATTGAAGGTGCCAAGTATGCAGTCCCTCGCTGACGCGTCTGCTATTGCATTCTTATTCCTCATGAAGCTCCGGTACGGATTTGGCATTCCTGACCTCTGTGGGCTGCTATCGGCGCTTGTTCCTCAACCTGGAAATAAGTTTGTTGAAGAAAGCATGCTTGCACCTCCTCCTGAGGGTACGTGCTTTTGTTCTCAGCTCAATATTCCTGGTGGTGATAATTTGACTGTGGGGATATAGATGAGTGGCGCTCGGCCAAGTCGTTGAATCCTGGGAAAATGCAAACTTCCACATCATCGACGAAGGTGATGCTCTTCCCAGGGCCTCACCCACAGGCTCACACCAAGCATATGTGGATGGAGAGACACAAGCCCCACGGAAGGAGACCTGTATCGACGTCAAAGGTTGCGATTTGGGGTTCCTGGTCCCAGAACCAGACGGGCTGGTCGTGCTTGATAGCGTTTTCGAACATCGAGGCAGCTACTGTATACTCGGATAGACTTTCAAGCGTGCTCTCTGGCAGCAACGCTCAGATGGTCGACAAACTGACCAAGCACTGGGTCCGGGCGTGTTACTACATCTGCCGCTTGGGGCTCAACGATGCGTCGCTGCGCTTGGTAGACATCTCGGAAGCCATTGATAATCTGGTACGTATATGAAGGTCACCTCCCTCGTCTGCTGTCAGCCGTACGCGCTGCCATGCTCACAACAATAACAGCGGTACCTAAACGCAGCAACGCCCAAGCCTGGGGGCGCCCTTGCGTGCTTGATGTATATGAACCAACTTGAGTACCAGAAGCGACTGGTGGACTTCCTCTCAGCCAGTCTCGGCAAGTTCCCAACGAACTGGGACATCGTCCAGAAGCCTGGGTGGACCAAGGACATGGCAAAGAAGTGTCGTCTGTTGAGCTCAAATATCGACAAGGTCTACGAGGAGGCTAGTAAGCTGCGAAACTTGGTATGAAACCAGGCTCTTTTATCACGGGTTTGCTCATAAGCCTAACGAACCTCATTGCAGGTTATTGAACACTATGGGCTTGCCCAGTCGCGCAATCTCGGGTTCCTCACCATCCTGGCTTCATTCTTCGTCCCCATCACAGCCGTTTCTGTAAGCCCTGGCCCGTAACCCTTATGCTCTTTCCCATGGCTCTTCGCGAAACTGCAGCGCTAACCACTCACAGGGTTTCTTTGGCATGAATACCACCGAGATTAACGGCGGAACCTGGCCCACCAAGTACTTCGGCATTGTTGCCGGGTCACTAACTTTCGTATCTGTGCTTTTACCTCTCGTGGTCCTCTCACTCATCGATGCTGTGCTGCGCTTCTTGTCGCAGGACATCCTGCGCCACTTCTTCGCTAGCGTTATCCTGCTCGTCGCTCTCGCCGCCAACATCCACCTCGTCATCCTCTATAATGCGGACTGGAGCCTGGGCATCCAGATATGGTTCGCCGTCGGCAGGCTGGTGATGCCGGTGATCACAGTTGCCCAGTACGTGACCATCGACCTCACGTTGCCCATCATCCGGGCGATACAAGTCCACCGCCGCCGCGACCAGGATCTAGGGTCGACCGCGTTCAGTGTCGCAGAGGCAATGAAAGAAGCTCCTCTGGAGCGGAAGTGGCGTCTAGCCGTGTTCACAGTGCTGACAGTGGTCTATTTCATTGGGTATTTCGTAAATGCGCATACTTCTATTGTCGCAATGGGACTGTACTATGTCTACGTTGGAGTGGCGTGGTACTGGCATAGAAGGCGCAGCAAGCGGTCCATGGAGTGATGAGTCCTTTCAAAGCGGATTCGACACAGTAATAAGGGAGTTCTTGTGAAGGAGTAACCCCACTATCCAAATCTACTTTCCCGTACACCCACCGATAATCATGGCGTGTAACATGGCGTTGGGTGTTATATGCAGGTAATCGACCCTTGACAGATATTTGCCGGCCGCTCGCACGGTTATGGGGTCCATTTTCTTGCTTAGAGTCAGTGTTTTTCATCAGTGGTGAGCTGGCTCGCAATCTCGGCGCGTCTCATTTGCCTGCGCACACTTGGGGAAGGTTGATCTGGATCAACTCCGTCAACTTTTCTGATGATTTTTTTTTTTTGATATGATAAGAGTCCTGTGCATGCCGTCGGTTACTGCATTCCATGTGACCTATTTCTCCAATGCTGGGGAGCATTGATGAATGTGGGTAGATACAGGAGCCCAGGTAATGGGACAGGTCAGAAAGAAGAAGTGTCATTCAGTCAGGAAAGCTCAGCTTAATGAAGTGGGCATCTATTCTATTATGTTACTATACCCTTAGCCATGTAGGCTACAAGTATGAATACCACGAAATAGAGAGAAGAGACTTGATTGTATAACTATGGGCAAGACCTGAATAGGCTCCAACAGGTTAATAGAATCTTGATTGATTGATTGATTGGTCGAATCATATGAACAGGTGTCGAGTCGAGTCTCGAACAGAAAGGTCCAATGCTCACTGATACATTATGCACCATTAAACACTTATAAAGAGCGTTAATGTAGTCGAAGGATTGTTTGAAATTATTAGGCCCTATTCATGCTATATTCGGGCCTCAGGATGGGCTATTTCCGGTCCCTTTGCCTGAAGTAAATACATTGTGGGCCGTCTGTATCCCTCCTACTAATAACTTGGAAGCAATTACTGGGCTTTGCACACGCCCTGGTTTGCCTTCTCGTCTTGCTAAATTTCACATTCACGTCAGTCTTCTGGCAGCGCTTTGTTCTCGGTGGGTTGACATACCAAGCAGTATCCAGTGGCGCACACACCCATGCTTCCATCCTTCATGCAGGGCTGACCCTCAGGGATCTGAAGGAGTTTGTGAGCAACTACGTGGACAGTCTGTCAGAAGATGGCTTTACCTTCTTCTGGGCGTCCTGAGCCGGGAGAGCCAGAGCGGCACCAACGAGAGCGAGAGTGGTAAGGAAGGTCAGCTTCATGATTGCGGGTTGTGAGATGTATCGTAGCGAGCGACGATGAGAAGATGAAGTAAAAGAGGATATTTGGTAAAGAATGTCGGAAGATATGAAACTTGTTGATGGATGCCTCGCTGAGACCGGGCCTGGATGGCCAATTTATACCTTCCCCTCTGCGATGATCTACTATAGAATGGCATGTTTTGATTCTATGCTTGCGTCGTTATCCACCACCCCGTGGGTATATTACGTGTGTCTTCGTATTTTGATATCCAAGCCCATAACCAGAATCAGTATCCAGAGTGTGAGGCATGGATTGCTAATGAGGAGTTCATAGAGGCCGCCCACATCCGAGCATCGGGATCACAGGACATTTCTGGTTCTTCCGAACGATCCGGAGTATTCGCGTTGGAGCGATCGATACCCCAAAGAGCAAGTATAGTTACGCAATCCGGACTTCCGGACAGAACGTGGAGCCGTTTGATCGGCGTCTAATGGGGTCGGTGGGCCACTATTCGCACCTTATTGCCCACGATCCGGCTAGCGATGGCCTAACGCGACGTCTTGGCCGAAGTCACCGTCGACGATCCCCCTGAAATATCGACTGGCTCGTTCCTCGGTTGTCGGGTCAGCAGGGGCAGGGCTGAATGCTCCTCTCAAGCCCAGGGGTCAGTCCGAGGCGATTGATTGTTACACTCCGCATGCATTACCTGCATGAATGCTGAATACTACTATACTATAGGAAAACAAGCCGTAATTCCTCGCTTCGCTCGGCGGCTTGTGTTTGTAGGCCGATTAGTCATGCAATGGGGGCCTAGGGGGTAGCTCGATTGATTGATTGATTGATGGAGTTCATATACCCGAAATAGCTGGCCTAACGCCTGCTGTGCGAGTGTGCCCTACTTGCCCAAAATAAGGCTATCTAAACATATATAAAAGAGATATCGTAGCCATAGTATGGCGGTTACGTCCCCTAGACCTCGCTGCTATGCCTGCCTGCCGGCCGGCTCTCCACTAGCTAGCGCATTGAAAAGCCTTGCCGTCGCTACACGGCTGTACATCGAAAATCTATAAAAAGTTCATCCTTCTACCTGCTCTACTTAAATATCTCTTTTTCCTTATCTGATACCTGACTCCGAGCGCCTACCTAGGCCTCTGCATTGTTCTTTCTGTCTGCATCTGCATGTCAATGTCTAATCTTTAGAGGGGCCGTCCGCCGCGCTGCGTGTTTCGCCATGGAAATATATCGTAGCCGTCTGCCTGCGACTCGGCCAACTGTCTGACCAGTTGGTGTGCCTGTTTACCCAGCGTCTTCACCCGCTGTCATCCTCTATATCTGCCTGTTTTGGGACCTCCCGGAACTGCTGAAGGAGGCCTGTAGCCAGCACGAAATTGGCGACGAGCCGCACTACCTTCGGCTCAGAGACCAGCTGGTCGTAGTCGTACTGGTTAAAATTGCGCGGCAGGCCCTTTACCCTTTTAATCTTCCGCCACATCTCTAGGCGGAGCGCACTAAACTTGGGACAGTTAAGACGTGCTTCGGTGTCTGCGATCCCTCCTCGCAGGAACACCGGTCTGATTCTACCTGCTTAATCTTAAAGAGGTAGTGGTTGAGCCCGATTCGCATTGTCCGCATCTGAACTAGGGCTGAGCTCTGCAGCTTCGTGAGATTCTGGTAGAGCCGTAGGGACTGCCAGCCTGATCCTGGAAGGAGCCGCTTAGTCGGCCGTGCAGTGTTGGCTACCGACAGAAGCCGCCACTGTCGCAGCCACTTATCCATAATCCTCTGGCGCGTGGCTGACTTGGCCGCCGACGCCAATAAGTAGTCGGCGCCGCTCTGCGCTGGGTCAAGGCCGCGGAGCGCGGCCTGCCTGGCCAACTGGTCGGCGACCTCGTTGCCTGGGACCCTCGCATGGGCCGGGATCCCACCGAACCTCGACCGTAGGGTTCGCCAGTTGGCTGAGTCGTTCGAGCCCCTCCAGGGCATGTATGAGATAAACTTGGCCAGAGGTCCGCCCCCCGCCTCGAAGGGCGGAGATAGCGGCCTGGCTGTCTGTAAAGAAGATAATCCGCGTGTGGTAGGGTCGTCGCACGGGGCGCGCGAGCTGTGCGCCCTCGGCGAGGCCGCGCAGCTCGGCCGCGTACACAGTTTGCTTGGTCTCTACCCCCAAATACGCAGAGCGCTGGAGGTAGTCGTTTAGATCGGTGGTCATGATACTGGGGCGTTTCGGGATGACGGCGGCCCCGCCCACGTGGCCCTAGAACCCGCTGCCATCCGTATACACCCGTAGTATTGCTCGGTGGCGGACCATCTCCTGATGGCTCTGAAGCGCCTGCTCCCGGTCTTCCACGACCGTGTTCGGCCGCGGCTGCCAGGGATCCCGTATAAAGGAGACCCGGGGCTCCCACGAGTGGTGGCCCAGTCGCCCCATCGTCGCGGCGAACGCCTCCATAAAGGTGCGCTCTGCGAACGCCTTCCGGCGCCGCGGGCTGGCGCCGACGACCGTTCTCGGTCGCCCGATACGCGGTCCCGTCGCAATCCGAATCCCTGCTTCCTCCGCCCGCTGCTCGAGCAGGAGCGGGATCGGTGTGAGAAAGAGTTCTATGTTTAGCGCCTCCGCAGCGACTACGCGGAACGAGCCGCTGATTAGAATCGCTGCACGCTTCTGAATGTTGGTAAAGCGCATGACTGCGCGCTGGCGCGCCTGCTTGGCCGCCGCCAAGGCCGTGAGCCGCCATGGATTGTACCACATCGAGGAGCAGTACAGCATGGTAGGCACGACCATGGCTTGATAAACGCGGCGGAGGTCTTCCAGAGACGTGCCCCACGTGGATCCCGCGATCCCCCGTAGCGCCTCTAGGCAGGCCTCTGCCCGATGAAGCATCTTAGTGCAATGCACGGTGAAGTCGAGCCTTGAATCCAGCCAGGCCCCGAGATAGCGAGCCGCCGAGCTCGGCTGGACCGTAATATCCTCCTCGTCGAGGTATAGCGCGTTCTCGCACAGCTGAGACTCCCCGCCAACTGGCCGGGGAAAGTGGACGAGCTCGTACTTCGCTGGCGCGAAGACCGATCCGTGTTGGCTCGCCCACTGCCGCGCATGTGGGTAGACTGCCTGCAGGGCCCGTGTGGCGGACCGGATACTGAAGGCCTCGGCGAGCAGAGCCACGTCATCGACGTAGCCATACGCCTCCGTGACCGTCAGTCCTTGGGTCGGGGAATTGCAGATACTAATCAGATCCGCGTTGTACAAAAGGTAGAGAATCAGCGAAAGCGGAAACCCCTGGGGGATCCCTGTAGTCGTTGGGAAGAGCTCGGTGACGTGTTCGGGCATGCGGATCCGCGTATAGCGATTCGAGAGGAAGCTCGCAATCCAGGGCACGAAGTGGCCTAGTTTGCGCTTCCGAAGATTGTGAAGGAGCCGGCGGTGCGATACATTGTCGTACGCACCAGAGACGTCTAGCAGAAGAAGCGAGACGGATCGTCCCTTCCGCCACGCCTTCGTAATGCGGTCCACGACGATCTGCAGGACATGCTCGCAGGAGATACCTTTCCGGCCGCCGAGGTGGTTCTTCGGGAGCAGCCGGAACCGCTCTACTGCGTAGCTGAGCCGCTGAGCCACGACTGACTCTAGCGCCTTTCCTATAGTGTTCAGGAGCGCCACCGGCCGGAAGGCCTTTGGCTCGGTATATTTAGATTTGCCCGGCTTGCGGAGGACCGTCGTGACCGATACCTGAAAGTGCCGTGGGTTGTAGCCTGCGTGGAGGCAAGCGTTGAAAAGATTAGTGAGATATATATCGATGACTGGCAGGACCCAGTGGAGCACCCGATTCGGAATCCCGTCGTCCCCGGGTGCTTTATCCGCTGGAGCCCGCTTAATCGCGTGTCGGACCTCTTCCACCGTCACCGGCGGAAACGGGAGCCCCTCCGGATACAAGAATGTCTCGATATCGGAGAGGTCCGCCGGTGGTGGGCGTGGAAAGAAGGTCTCGCGAAAGGCGGCCGCCTTCGCCTTCGGTGTACGCATAGACTGGCCCTGGGATTCTAGGGTAGGGGTTGTGGCGGGGCCGGTAGATCGGTTCCTGGCCCATTTCGAGAGCTTCCAGAGGCCGCGGTCGTCCTCGGTCATCTCCTGCACGCGCTGGCGGTGACCATTCCGCAGAATCTTTCGGACGAGGCGCGTCTTGTGGTTGCGGGCGTCCTTATATGCCCGGTCAATGAGGTCTTCCCAGGGCATGCCGCAGTCGCCTAGTCTCCTTAATGGCTTCCAGGCATTCCGGAGTCAGATCCGGGTTCGACCATTCGCTGGGACGGGCCCAGGGGACCGTCTAGTCGATAGCTGCGTGGAGTGTGTCGATCAGGTGGTTGGTAGCGCGGTCAATCTGCTTCGGAGTCGGTATTCGAGGCCGTGTCGCGCGGCGAGAGGATGGTGATGTCGTTCGGACGGTCGAATTAGAGTTGGGCGATAAGATAAGATGTGGTGGGTCCAGGCGTTCCCGGACCAATGAGATCAGTTGTTCGATGTCTGCCTTCTTCCAGTTCCGCCGCCGGACCACCTCTGCAGGGGTCGTAGCGACGTCGAGGCGCGTACGGAGTGGGTAATGGTCGGAGTCGCTGTCGAGGTCGTCGGCGCGCTCCCAGAGGACCAGGCGGTCCTGCAGGGAGGCCGAAACCCAGGTTAGATCGATCGTTGATTGATGCGCGCCACGGGACCACGTCGCAGTCCCTATTTCGGTCAGAACTTCGAGTCGATGGCGGTCTATCAGACTCAGGAGGCCTTCCGCCTCTATCTTCGCGTGGGAGACGTCCGAGCCGCCCTAGGCGGGGTGGTGGAGGTTGAAGTCGCCGCTCACGATGTGTTCGGTCGTGGCGGTGTGGGTGCGGGCTAGCTCCGCGTCGGGCTGGCTGAGGGTGGTCTTCGCGAGATCGTTATAGATGTTATGTACGATTAGAAAGCGCTGCTGAGCGCCTCGCTGATAGGTAAATCGGATCTAGTGGTAGTCGAGGTCGACGGGGTGGTGTTCCCACGAGCCGGGGTGAATCTCCTTAAGAATAAAGAGATATACCCGCGCCCGCTCCCCGTCTAGCCCCTCCGGGCGGAGGTGGTGGTGTGTCGCTTTTAATGGGTGGTGGGTGGTGTCAGGGAATGGGTTCCGCTATGGTTCTTGAATGGCGATAATCGGCACCTTCCGCGCTTCGCGCAGGAACGGCGCTATGACGCGGTCCTGGCCGCTTGCGCATTGTACTGTATGATCTCCAGCGGGCCATCAATCATTGATTATCAACGACAGATGACGAGTCTGGAGGATCCGTCGGATCCCGCGCTCGGGCCGGGGTGGACTGGCCCCTATGAATGGTCACCCGCGGGAGCTTCGTGGACGACACAATCCGTTTCGCGGGGGTCTTGGCCGAGCTGGACGGCGTGGGGATTTGGGAGCGTCTCCGGACCCGCTGCGCGGCCTCCACCGCGGTGGGTGTAGGGGACTTCCCTTGGAGGCGCGCGGACGACCGTGTCGAGGACAGAGTCGATACCCGCGTGCTTTCGGAGACAGTCTCGTAGCTGTCATCCGGAGCCTCGTGTGAGCCCTGCGGCTCGTTCTCCCGCCGGTCCTCTATCTCCGTATCTTGCGGTTCTGGCGGAGAGAGGGCCGGCGGGTTCTCGGCGGGCTCCTCCTCGATTGCACTGCCTGTAGAGATGCGTTGACGCTTTCGGGCTCGGGTCTGCACCGGCAGACTGAGATCCATCTGATTGGTGGTCAGGGCGACCTCGCGAGAGCTCCCGGGAGCCCCCCCTGTCGCCGCTGCCGCCGCTGCCTGGGCGCCGTGTTCCGCCGTCAGACTGGCTCGGGATGGAACATCGGCCGGACGGGCCGGGTCCGGGACACTCGTTCCATCTTTTTCTTGTGGTGGGAGCAGGTCTTGCTCCACGCGACGTGTGTTCCTTCTTGCAGTTCGCACAGTTCGGCGCTTCGCCGCGTTTCGTGCATACTTTGGTGGGGTGGTTAGCCGCGCAGCGTGCGCAGCGTGTGGGGTTATGACATTGGGATCCTATGTGACCATACTGTTGACAATTGTAGCATTGTTTGACGCGCGCGCTGCGGTCGTAGATCTCCGTCGCATGGACTTCGAATTTCCAGACCACCCCGTTGGCGATAGCTGCATTCGCCGACACGGGGTCCAGGAACTCATCACGAGTGATGTGGCCTTCTTACCGGCCTCGGGTGTGCGCTTGGGCCCCCCAAGGTAAGGGATTTCGGACCGCCCGCTCCAGAGGTGGGCGTTTTCGGCCACAAGGGCCTCGGTAACATGGCTGAGCTGGGTCAGGTCGACCGACTTGATCGGCACGGCGTGGGCGACCAAAATGCGGGGCCCCCGGGAAAGCCCACCACTGTCCCCATGCATCACACCTGGATATATATCTCTCTGACTA